AAACTACTCAATTACAATCACTAATAAAACCTGGTAAAAACAATATGTAAATACATTAAAACACACTTAAAATAATACAAAATACAACAGCTCCACCATTGTATGGAGCTCACTGGGTGGGTGACTATGGGCCAGTCACAGACTCTCATTCCCACCTACCTCGTAGGGTTGTTGTTGTGAGGATAACATTGAGAAGAGGAGGAGGAGTATTATGCAAGCTCCTTGAGTTCCTTGGATGACAAAAAGCAGGATATGAATGAGCAAATGAATGATTTTTGCTTAACAGATCCTCTAGCATGCCAGATGCGCACTCTAATAAAATGCTTTTTGCATGCTGGTGGAAGGACAACAGTGCAAATGTATCCTTCCTTGGCAGGGAGTTCCCCCATCAGGAAGCAGCCAGCAAGAAGGCCCTCTTTCAAGTTGCTACTAAAATGTTTCCGAAGGCTGCAGTCTCTTCTTATAAAACTTCTGAATGAACAACGTTTTTACAGTTCTTATGTGATTTCTTAGAATAATGGTAAAATTTTATTTGAACTTTGTGTTACTGCTTTGCTTTCTTAGATGTACACTTCAAACCAAGCTATCTTGCTGTTCAGAATGACTTTAGATGATTTGATTCATAGTCCTTTGAGGGACATCATTAGTTGTTTACTTACAAGCACTTTTGATCATTTATTTCTAACCATCATTGGATACTACAATATTGATGTGGAAGTCATCAGAATCTTTTTGAGGGGACTTAGTTTCCTATCTGATAATTTTTTGATGATACCTTCAAATAATTCTATAAAGTTGGTGAGGAATTTATTTCACATTGCAAAGGCTTGAGCCAGTTCTTCAGCAATGCATGATCTGTGTTTAACAATTTATTATACTTTCCACTAGTTTATCTGAAAAAGTCCTACAACTCCTGGCATTCCTTAGCCAGCATGTTTTGAATTTTTAAAAATTAAATATAGGAATGGATAGGACTACACCCTCTGGCCATTAAATGCTGTTTAGATGGCTGAAACTTAGGTTGAAGACCCAGCTCCAATCATGGAAATGTGTTCAGCGTCTGGAGCAGAAATTCTGACTGGAATGCCTTCTCTCTCTGCAGCTTTCAAATATTTCTTGTTGACTCTGAATCCCTATAGCTTGCTTTGTACCACTCAGATTCCTCTATTATCAGACTCCTTTAGGAACAGTGGCTGGGGTGCTCATGTTGCTACTGACTCACCGTACACAGATGTTTGGGGGATGGAAAGTACCTTTTGCATTCTCTGCTGTTGCAGTTGAAGTTCTTAGTGGCTGGCAAGCACGTTCCTTTAATAGCCATTCAGCAGGAACATAAGAAAAACAAATTCTGGATCATAACCTTTGTTACAGAGTCTTGTGTTCTTCCAGTGGATAACCAGATGCCTTTGGGATGTCCACAGGTGGGATATGAGCACAATAACACTTCTGTTTCCATTCTTCATCAATTGGTATTGAGCAGCAAGCTGCCTTTGATCCTGGAGGCAGCATACAGCCCTCATGACCAGGGACAGCCTTATCTTCCCTGAGATTGTCTTAATTCCTTTTGGAGCGGTCCAAGTTAGCAGCTATCATTACAAACTTTAAGCAGATTCTAGTTTAACTGTATGCTGTGCAGAAAAGTATTTCCTTTTATCTCTCCTGAATCTCCCACCCTTTTGGTTTCAGTGGGTGATCTTGGGTTCTAATATCAGGAGAGAGGCAATGAAAGAAGGAAGTAGATTTTTCCCATCCTGGTACTATAGTAAGAAAGTTGCTGTTATGTAAATATCATAGGAAATATTTTTCTTGTTCAAGGGGCTAATTTAATTGTGATGTTGACATAGGCATTTCCACAGGAGTATTTCAGTCATTTAAATATATATTTTCATTTCATTTCCCTTGGTCAGTGGAGGTTGGTTCCAGAGAAAGCTTTAACAAAGGTATGTAATTAGGAGGCAGTTGAGTCTTGATGCTTATCTTTACGTGACCATATTGCCAATCACCCCTCTAATTGGTAATGTTAGTTCATCTAAATACAGCTACTGCCAGTGTTGTCAATGGAGTGGTTAAACTTGCATGCAAATGCATATGCAACTGGTTGATATGAAAAGCCTTAGTTAAATTTCTTAAGAAATTATCTCCTTGTACAAAGCTCTTCACCTGACTACTAGTAATTATCTATAAGTAGTCTGAGTAGAAGTATCAATTTTGAAACTCTGAATTTTGGATAGGACCATAGTATGTGTTTTTACATGTGAATGCCTCATAAATATTTCCCAAGAGCAATTTATTTTTCTAATTAGCTTGAACAGTCTCTGTTATACCCAGTGCTTCAAGCGGTTTTGAATAAATCAATTCAAAGACACATCTGCTATTCAGAACTTGACTTAAGTTACTGCAGTTCTCTGTAGCATATTAGCAATGCTTGAAAACTAGCAGATTCAATAACTAGCTTCTATAACATGATAAAAAATGAATTAAACTAGTCTCTAAACTTTACGGTTAAAGTGAAGAAAGGGAACCTGTCAGATCTTAGTTTGTTTTAATAATATCTGCTTGTTTTAATAATAGAAATTATGTTAGTGTCCTCTGAGATATACCTCACACTGGGAAATTACTTACATAACTTATGCTACTATTTTCTTTGTTTTCTTGTGTCTGAAACATCTCATAAAGGGCTTATGGATGCAAGAAAATAAAAACATAAAAAGAACAGATTTTGTAAAATTACCAACAGTACAGACTGGGTTTGAAGGCATGGTAGTAAAGACACATGATGAGTCAACTTTTCTGAAGCTCTGGATTCTACTCAGTTCCTGGATGAGATGTGACTTGGGAATGCTGTGTATGCTTCCCTGAGCACCATGCATAATCATATGTAGTCTGTATCTTCCTATACAGAATGTAACATGGATGTCTAAACTATTTTTTTCTTTTTTAAAGGTGCTAGACATAGATGTAAAATTGCTAAGTTATTCTAGAGCAGGGGTAGGAAATTTGTGGCCTTCCAAATGATTTGATCTACAAGTCCCATCAACCCTAAACTGCATAGTCAGTGGTGAGGGATGATGGGAGTTACAGACCAACATGTCTTAAAGGATCACAACTACTCAGACTTGCTGTAAACAGTAGCAGGCATGACTGAATATTTCTTTCTATGCTGTTGAATAAGATCAGGAACTACAGATCAGTCCAAGATCAGCCTATAGATAGTATGTGAGTTTCAGAAGGCTGGCAACTGGTCCCAGGCAAGGTCTGCACACCTTTATAAATTGTGTGTGAGTGTTAAGTGTAGCTACAGTAGAATCAAATCTACAATAGAATCAGTGGCAGACTTGGTCTAGGAAATTAATGTTGGATGGAAGGGAAAAGGAGATGGGCTGAATTTCCTTCTGAGCCTGAACAGCCATGAAACGGGTTCAGGTTTGTTCCCTCTCCCTCTCCCTCTCCCACACAGACACACAGACACACACACACACACACAGACACACACACACCTTTCCCAAGCCCCCAAATTCCTCAGTCCCCAAAGAAAGACATTTTCCCCTGTCCCACGTGTCACTCCTATCTCTTCCGCTGCCATCAGTCTCTTTGTCCAAAAGTGCATATGAAGAAAAGAAAAGGATCTGGGAGTGTAAGAAAAAGAACAAGGCTAGGAACTGGAAGAGAGAGGCAAATAGGAAGAGCAAGGTTAGAGGCTGGGAGAGTGGGGAATAACAAGGGAAAGACTGAGGGAGAGATAAAGCAAGTATACGAGAAACAGGGAATGGAAATAGCAAGGTGAAGGGGTGAATGGGAGTGAAAGAATGGGCTAAGGGGGAGAAAGGGAGAGAAATAGCAAAGAAAGGGGTTGTGAGAGAAAAATAGTGTAAATAGAGTATGGAGCTACAGAAGGAGAGACAGAAAGGCTGAAGGGGAAATGTTTGTGAGGGTGGAAAATTGGGTATCTCTTCCCACTTACTGATCAGTTTCTGGAAGTGGAAGCAAGGACCCTAATGTTTTTCAGAGTTTTTATTAAAAATAAGTTTTGAAGAAAGTATGGAGTGAAGAGGCTTGCAGGTGGTGTTGGATATTGTAGTTCGGACTCCTACTATAAGCAACATAATATTAATTGTGTAGACATAAAAAGGGTAAGGGCTATTTGTCTTCATGCCATGCTTGTGGCTGCAGTGCAAAACAATGCTAGACTGTATGGACCTTTGGCTAAGCCAGAACTCTTATGTACAGTTTCCTGAAAGATTACCATTTCTGAAGGAGCTTGCTTCTTAAAGCCAGCATGTAGTTACACCAACCAAAAAGAAGCACAGATCTTGAATTTTTAGAACCAAATTAAAACAGTAAGAATCATAGGAAGAAATGACTGCATTGCAAATAGTGTACACGTGACACAAGACAAAATGCCACCTTTAGTGGATACAATTCAAGCTTTTGTTATAAGTGTCGAACAGGAATTCTGTTATGTATAGGAAAAAGTAGCAGACACATAGCTAGCTTTTTATTTTAGATTGCTGCTGGGGAATTAACATGCCTATGATCTAATGTCAGAGAAAGGCCGCTAACTTGTAAGAACCTGCCATGCATTTTTGTTGTTGTTGCTAACTTGTTATACTTGTTAAAAACTTGTTCTTCAAACAATAGTCTCCACTGGTGATATTCTTAACACAAATCAGCTTGATGTCTGACCATATCACAGTGGTTGTGATTTAAGTGTCAAGAATGACTGCCAGAAGAGGACGAAGACAGGTGCAGTATTTCTAGTTCTTATTGCTAAATGCGATACTATCAGGCACACAGTCTTAGTTGTACTTTGTCACAGCCTCATTCAAGTGGTACACTATCACTGCAGGAGCTATTACGTTTCTAGTATCCACTTTCTTTAAAGCCAAGTACATTCCTTCCTTATAGGATACTGCTTCCATATGTACCTCTAACACTAATATTTAATACGCCCAATTCAAGTGCAAAATGATATATGTATAATTTAATGGGCTTTTTTTTAGCGTAGGACATGGAGTTGAAATGGACTTTGCTACATGAAGACCAAGAAGTGGCTGGGCTGATCCTACTAATATAAAGCTCACCAGTTCTCAAAGCCAGAGTTTCAAAAACTGGTAAGAACTCTTCTTGAACACATAAATTCAGGAAAATATGTTGCAATAAAAATGATTGATTCTCCTGGCATCTTAAAAGATGAAATTGTTTGTTGTTAGAGGAGAGATTTATTGACAAAAGTTTGCTTTATCAGATGTATGAAATGATCTAGTGAGGCAGTCAGAATGTATGTACATGCAATTGAACACAAATGGTGAAATATCAAATAGGAGTCCCCAGTGTGGTGCTTACAGGGCTCTCCAGTGGTACCTGTAAAGCTCTGCACTCCCTTTGTGTTTATTTTTAATTAAAACTGAACAATATTACCAGGTTCTGTTTTCATTCCTGAATTTTCAGCTGATAAATCTTCTGCAAGCTAGAAGAGAGAAAAATGGTTGTTTTTTCCACATTCCTAGTCTTGCTCTTTCTTTCCTCTCTACCTCATCTTCCTCCCAGTGTCTAGCCTTTCTCTTACTGCTGAACCTCTTTCCTTCCATTTCTTCCCTCCTAGCTTTTAGATCTGCTTTTTCTATCTTCCCACCTCTTCTCACCATTTCACCCCTTTTATCCTTCCGCGTGTTTAGTCTTGCCTTTTCACTTGTTTTTCTTTTTACCAATTCCCTAGCCTTGCTCTTTTTCTGCCTCTTTCCAGCTCTTTACTTCATTCTAGTATGAATGCACATGCATTCACACAGAATGCACATGCCCCTTCCATCACCAGAGGATTTGATGGCAGGGGAGCGGGTAGGAGTGTCAGATGAGAAACAGAGTGGTTGTGCCTGGGACTGAAGTCGGGAAAACATTTTCCTTGGTAACCCCCCCTCCCAGTTCTCCTTTTGTTTAATTTATATTTTAATGATCTTGCTCACCATTTTGACTCTCGTGAATTCCATGCACTGAAACACACAAAAACCAGGATTCCTCTTTATGCTGATGCTCTTTTTCTCCAACTCAGATAGGTTGAAACATTTGTTAGAGAAAATTTCCAGTTACTGTAAAAAAGAAGCTGCTTCAGTTAACTGTGATGAGATCAAGGTTTTAGTATTCCCTATATTAAAAAATGCAATTGGTCTTTAGACAGACATTCACAGTTGGGTTACAGTTTACAAACTAAATGTGGAAAAGTTATGTCAGCTTTCTTAAGGGTGCTCCTTGGGGGTTTCGGAGATGTGGACAGCTGTACTTTTCTGGCTTGGGGCAACTTTGTATTCTGCAGAAGCCAGAGCTTGGAGTCCAGTTCTTTGTTTTAACGTTTCTTGTTCACTCTTCCAGTTCTCTCTCATATTATTGTTCATTTAGATTTCCATTTAAGTGTATGGATGAAGATGCTAAATGAATAGTGTATATATTTTAGGGATTTCCCCATACAAGAAGATTTTGTTTTATTCAGTGTATTAAAGATTAAGATTTTCAACATTCATTTGCATTACCTTAATAACACCTGTTCTCTGCTGTCATTGGCATCAATCACATTTCTGTAAACTCTGAAACACTTGAAAAAAATAAATATTCAGAGTATAGAAAGTATAGAAAATGTGCTCTTGCACATATTAATGTATTACCTTCAGCCCTCCCGGGGGTGATGGACATGTAGAGATTACCTTATTCCATATTATAGGGATGATGTTGGCAAGATAGGCAGCATATACAATGTTTAAAATAAAATAAATCAATTCCAACAAATATGATCCTTCTGTTTTAGAAGAAATTGAAACTGTAAGTCATGATGTAATTTCCTCTGTGATCTCCATAAGGAGTTAATTAATCCTTTAATTTCTCTGTATCCATGAAGATCATCTGGATACAAAGTACTCCTTTCTTATATGAAAGAGTTTGTTAGCGAATTTTAGCTAGATAACTATGGAGAGCAATAATACGAGTTGAAGTGGTATCTAATTAATTCTATGTTTTGTTCAGATTTTGTTTAACAGTTATTTGATCTTGTAGGATGGTTTTAGAACTTTATTTCTATTAGTGATGGCCTTGTATTTTACTTTGTATTATGAGATGTTTTGACTGGATCAATAAAATGGATTTGTTGAGTGCTTAAATACCCTGTTGTGCCCATGGGTCCAAAGAGACTGGAGATAGAAAGCATGGGAAGAAACAATTTGACCAGCCATAGGAATTATGGTAACACATAGAAGGAGGTGTTTTCTTACATAGCTTAACCCCCCCCCCCCAATATCAGTGGTTAATCTCTGGATCAATGCCAACTTCACTTTTCCCAAAGAATTCAACATGTTTCCGGAACTTTATAAACAGTACTATGTAGAACAGTGTTACTTGGGAGGTAATCTGAGAGTTTGCAAAGATGAAATGATTTGAAATCTTCCAATAAACAAAAATAACACTTTTATATTGCTGTGAAATTCTAGAACTCAGAGTGTTCAATGGCATCCTTTTTATTTATAAGCAGACTGCTTGATATGACCTGGTTTGCGTGTCATTGAGGGACATTATTGGTTAATTAACCATGTTATTGTAATGTCTGAGTCTGGTCATTCTGACTTTGTTTACAGGATTAACACAGAGTTAACCTTTGATTTGTAATTAGATTCATTAACCCACACGTTGCTGCATTGACTTGTTAACTGACTCAAACTGGAAAAACTCTCTGTTCTTTAGAAAAACTTTCAGAAACAGTGTGCTTTAAATAAACCATAAATGTAAGCAATAAAATATATTTTAAAAGTCAAGCAACTGTTAAGTCATTATACATTCAGATCAACATGGCAACTTTCTGTGTTTTTAATGAGTAATTTTTGCATTAATAATTAATTGGATAATTGGCTCAGTTGCAAAGGTCTCTTGCTGCATCAAAAACAGCAAAGGGTTTCCAGTATAGGGCCCTAAGCAACAAGAGAACAGCCTCTCTGGGCTTCCTTGGCAAATTGGCTGCAGAATCACATTGCTTTCCATAGCACGAAAGCGTCTATTGTATTATTGGGAAATGATGGAAGTCTGTGTAGTGTATATTAGAGTTCTGTTGCCAGGGAAATAGACTTGCTAGCTATTTCTCATTTTGAAGCAGTGTCCCTTGTTTGAGCTCTCCAGTTCCTGACAAGATATGCTTTATTTCAAAATGTAACCACACTGGTAATAAAACACAGATAAAAGCAGACTAACTATAAGAACTGATAAATAACCTGCATTTAAAACATTCTGACTTCATGGCTTTGTGGATGTTGCTCCAAGTTTTAAGTGCACCTAAAGGCAGAACAGAGATGTATATTACATGGAGGTGTGGAACACACTTTCATTCTCCCTATTGGCAGCACAGTAAGTGAGCTAACACAAAGAAAATTCAGACATAGTTTTTTATATGCTGGAACATGGTATGCTGGAACATAATATCCTGAAGTTCAGAGAGATCTTTATTAAGCACTACACTGCAAAGTTAATCTGTGATCATACTTTGCTGTTCAAATGAGTACCCCACAAAAATATCGTGCATTTTGTTGAGGGTATTGAGGAGCTTATTCTAAATAGAGAACTGATTACTGGATTTCTGACATCTGCATTGCCTTCATTCTTCCAGATCTTGCATACTTACTGGCTCTTTCTATGGCAGCTTCTAGTGCTACAAGATTTTACATCCATTTAGGAATCGAGTTGCTATGAGAGCAGAGCCAAGTATTGCAATCTATGGTAATACTTATTTCAGATGTTGGAACTTTAAAAACATGCACATAGGATCTTAGAAAACACCTAAGGTGCTGTCTCAATGAGACTGATCTTGTATCATGTGCATAACTCAACCTTCAGCTGTTTGATCTTGCATGTCTACCTAAAAAGCCTGCCACTTTAATGATTTTGCTGCCCTTTTAAATGTAAGTTTTCCTGATGTTTGGTACTGTTCTGCCATCTAGTGGCAAATATGTAACTCACAATTTGTTTTTTTCAGTGATTTCTAGTGGTCATGCAAATTATTTTTAAACTCTTTATTTTTATCATAGTGCATAATATTACATAATGTTGCAAAAATAAGAATTCATCAAAAGAATAGGGGGAAATGCCATGCACAATGACAACTTAACTACTTATAAAGTTAATTAAGATAGCTGATAACAAAAAACTGTCAGTTTTGGGGTTTAGTTAATCCTTGTGCTAGTATTAGCTAGTGTGTTGCCTTTTTAATGATGAAGCACCAGTTACTCTGTGATATCAAGAAGTAATTGATCATCTTTCAAATACACAACTATATCCATCTTTGCTGTTCCAACAGGCAATAAAATCCTGAAATGTATCTAAAAAACAAAACTTCAAAGAACTAATAGAAGTATAACAACAGTGTTATGACTGAGAATCCTACAATTTTTGTGAAGTACAAAAGTAACAAGATTTTCTCCTATTTCTTGGATATACCTAAAGCAGCTTTTCTTTACCAGATGCCCTCTCAGACATTAGAACTCCCATCAACTCTTAGCCAGCATAGTTAATCATCAGGAATTCTGGGAGTTTCAGTCCAAATTATCTGGAGTTTTGCTAGTTGGAGAAAGATGATCAAAGGTGTGCCAGAGATATAAGTATTTGTAAAATAGAAAGTATAATGGAAAGGAAAAGCTAATCTTCCATATATAAGCTTGCATTGTTTTATAATGTGCTAGAATTTAATGGCAATGCAGACTGTTATACCTCAAAATCACACTACAGATTTTGATGATTTTAGGTATTTTTATGCTTCTTTTTAAATGACATACTGAACATTCTGAACACATCATAACTGATATTCAGAACTAACTTGCACAGTTGCTAAGGTTTTTACTTAAGCTATGATAGCAGTCCATGCTAGCCTTGAAGAAGAGGCTACCTTTGGTGGGTCTAGGTATTCTAGACCCACCTAAATGGGCATGCAGAACTGGTAAAGCATAGGTCTGTTGGAGGAGAGTTTGATAGATTTGGGGCTATCACGGAGAAGGTCTGTCTCTAGCTCATGCCAGCCTCATTGATCTTATTGGTGGGTATCAAAGAAGGATACCTTTGATAGTATACAGACATGGTTATATGGGGTAATTTAATTCAAATGTAATTCAGATAATCTGGTCTGAAGCCCATAAGGTTAAGACCAGTAGATTGAACTAGTAAGTGTAAGTGATGCAAAGTATGTGTTCAGATTTTGTAGCCCCTATCAGCATTCAGACAGCCATACATTGCACCAGCTGAAGCTTCTTGCTCATCTCATTTATTTATTTATTTTCTTAAATTTGTATTCTTTAACCAAATAGTCCAACAGGACTCTCTGGGAAGATCACACAGATCTTCATAGGGAACCTCACATAAAGTTTGGAGAGCCAGTGTGTTGGAGTAGTTAGTATTGGACTGGGGAGCTAAGAGAACTGGTTCTAATCCCAGCTCAGCCATGGAGTCCACCAGGTGATATTGGGCCAGTTACTGGCTCTCACCCTAATCTACTTTACAGGATTGTTAGGAGAATAAAATAGAGTGGAAGAGGACTATGTAAGCTGCCTTGGATTCCTCTCAAGGGGAAAAAGGCAGGATATAAATTTGCCAGTGCAACTGCAAAGGGAGGAAGCTCTGCAGGGTTGCAAGGCACATTGTCATCCAGTGCTGCTGTTGCCACTGCTGCTTTGCTGCGGCTGTGTGACTTCCTGGATGCCTTCTTGCAGACTCAGGCCAAACCCACCACTAGCTGCATTAACTGTGGGAGTGAAGGAATAAATCTCAGACAGCAATTGATTTTTGCGTTTGCCCTCCATGGAAGTGAATCCTAAAACGTTGAAAATGGCAGTAATGGTGTGGTGTTGCAAAAATGCTTATACAGCTTTGCTAATGGTCATATTCCTTGTCATCTTCATTGATTCTTCCCAGTATTCTGTGGAAAGCAGTTTGAAAACAACTGAACTAGTTAATCTTTGAGTCATTTCTAAACATTTAATCATGTATCTAAATTTTATTTTCATGCTTTATTCCTGAAAAAACTGAAACTTCCCTACTCTGTTGTCTTTTTCAGTTGCTGATGTGTGATCATAATGAGTGGATTAGGGGAGAACTCCTTGGACAGCATGGCCAGTGAGTCAAGAAAACGCAAGCCATTACCATGTGATACCCCTGGACCAGGGTACAGAATATTCATTGTTTGATATTTTGTTATGGAACGTTTGCAAATTGCAGATTTTTCTTAAAAAAAGATGTATGTTAACATTTAGTGCCATTTCTCTTGATGACACGGTAAATACAATGAAAGGTGTCATACCCTATTAATTTAGGGCAGAGCTGCTGCTTAACAATACCTGTCTCTAAAATTTTGTATATACTGATACTTCAGTTTAAAAAAAAAAGTCATAAAAAGTTTACAAAATAAACACAAAATGAATAAATAAAGCAGATTTTAAAAAACTAACAACTTAAAGAAAACCATATGACCTCTTTAACAACTAGCATGCCCTAGTAGACTTATTGAATGCCTTGCAATAGAGGGAAATCTTTACCTGGTACTGAAAAGATAGTAAAGTTGGCACCAGGAAGGCCTCTCTCCTCAGGGGAATTCATTCCGTAACGGGGACCACCACTGAAAATGCCCTTTTTCATGCTTCTTGCTGCCACTATCAGAATCTTCCTTGGAGATGGCAGTAAGTGGTATGCCTCAGAACTTTATTGTACTGTCCAGGTAGATGAAGGTTGGGAGAGGTGTACTGTCAAGTAGGATAGACTCAAGCCTGTAGGTGGAAGGCACTCTGAGCTACTGAAGCCACCTGGGTCTCAAATGACAAAGATGTCTCAAACAGCAACCTGAACCTCCTCCTTCAGGGGAAGTACAATCCCTTCTAGAATAGAATGAGTTTCCTCCAGCCACTCAGAAGAATCACCCACTATTGCCTGAACCCCAGTTGGAATGGATCCAGATAATCAGGCCCTTTGAAGAGTGCCTGGAGCTAGTTGGCACCATCTGCTCAAAAGCCTTGCCTAGAAAGGGAATGTTTTTCACCAGCCTAAGTTATTCTGGGTCCACAAACAGTTTCTTCGGGAGTAGTCTCACTGCCAGTTGTTTCAAGTGTCCCTTAACCCATTGCAAGTTTTTTGAGAAGGAGGAAAAGAGGGGTTTATATAGTGTTCTATCAATTTTCTGAATAAAAGAAAACTTAAGTTTTAAGATAGCATTCAATCTTTTTCTTTATTTTTGCCTTTAGTGGTTTCAGTTCTTATTCATCTTTTATATTTGTATATGTGCAACTCAACATTTGACAAACACAGAATGCCCCTATAATTCTGGTTGTTTGTGCATAGTATTCCTATTCTGATGTCTCCCTGATGTATGAATTTCACATAGATTTCATGAAGTGTCTTTAGGCTTTCTTGTTGAGGCTCTGTTGATTTCCTGTTGCTGTGAGAAACATTGAAGTTTGAGAAACATTGATATGATTTTACTGCTCAGCAGCAACTTTTCCTCAAGGGCTTTGAGAAGCAAACAAGAGGGTAATGGGCTAGAACTTCATCCACTCCTCCCTTAGTGTCTGTAAGGAAAAACTTTTCTGCCATGATTGACTACTGGGTGGAAGGTGCCATTTGGAAGGGTGCTGGATCTCACTTGGTGAGCTCCATTGCTTATGGAAACAGTATTTCTCCTCTTTGTTCACTCGGTGTTACTTTCACTGTAAACTAAAGACACAAATATATTCTGTACATTTATTTTAATAGCTTGTTAAACAAATTATATGAAAGCAGATGTTATGATCATGAGGCTTAAATTCATAAATTGTTCTTGTTTTCAGTCTGCTCTGCAGTGGAGAGAAACGTCGACGTGAACAGGAAAGCAAATATATTGAAGAACTGGCTGAGCTGATATCTGCTAATCTGAGCGACATTGACAATTTCAATGTCAAACCGGATAAATGTGCAATTTTAAAAGAAACTGTTAGGCAGATAAGGCAGATAAAAGAACAAGGCAAGACTTGAATTCTTAAATTATAAAGGCAAAATTATTATCCATTATTTTGAAAGTTACTTCATTTTCGGATAATCAGATATAGAATGTGTTTAAATTTGACTTTTAAACAAGGGACATTTATTACATTCCTGTTCTCTGTTAGCTACTTGATTGCTGACAGTGGTTAACATTAACAAAAAGGCTGCTGCAAATAAAAATAATTGAGATCAGAATGAGCAAAAGGAAGGACTCGCTGACAATTTTTCTAAATGGAATCCTCATTTTTTTGCCTTTGCTATCTTGTGCTAGCCTGTGTAGAATAATGGGACTCCTGTGGCTGAGACAATATGGAGCATACAAGATTTTTTTCCACATTCAGCTCTTAAAGAAGGCTTTAGGCTAACAGGTTTTTCCTCCAACTGTCCTTCTTTCTTTCTCTCCTTCATCAAAGGATATAAGATAACTGAATTGGTGAGATCTCAAAACAAAAATCCTGCAAAGTTATGTATGTCGCACATTCAAATATATGTTGAACCTTTGGTCAGTTATGTGGTAATTTGAGGAGCTGGTAAAGTAGATGCAGTAGAGGGAACATGTGTGCTCCAAGGCCTGCTTCTGAACTTGCCTTTCTTATAAATGTGGATGATATGTATTCTTTTTTATCCTTTAAACATACGTTAACTTCATTATAAAAAGGATTTCGGTGTTAAGTTGGATGTGTTTTCGCATTCTAAAGAGGAGAAACATTCTGAAAATGTGTAGTCAGTACTGCATTAGTCTTACGTTAATTCCACAATTGCTTTAGGTTTCTGATTCACAGTTTGAAGACACAGATGTAACTTCCTTTCAAACTTGTTTTCCAAATTCAGGAAAAGCAGCTTCTGCTGATGATGATGTCCAGAAAGCTGATGTATCTTCAACAGGTCAAGGTGTTATTGATAAGGATTCATTGGGACCTCTTCTATTACAGGCAAGATTATAGCTTATTTTGTTTAAGTACTATTGGATCAGAACAATGGGCTGGTGTGTACAATGGGCTTGACACATATGACAAGCCTATTTGAATTTCCAGTCTCCAACCATGGGCTTGTTGTGTCATGTGAACCTTGGTGGTAGAGATTGTCTGCAACTGTACCATAAGCCAGTGATCAGCATGTGCTGTAGCCAAATATGAGTTAGAACTATACTTTTTCTCATGTGATAAGTACTTGATGAATACTTAGAATATGTTTGGGCCCCATCCTTTCAGAAGGGCCCTTTAGGAAATGATCATGCCTCCTCTCTGCAAACTGATCCTCTAATTGGGAGGCCATCCGCTGCTGGCATTGAATCATGGGGTTGAGAGCCATACTTGCTTTATTTCTCTTTGAGAAACTTCCCTGTTCCAAGCCCCCTCTTGATAACTGGACACCTTGGTTATTCTCAGAGGCAGCCTGAGCACCTGGGGAGTCTTGTCTTGAGATAAGTGCCTTTGCTTCACTCATCTCAATGTCTTGAACTGAGCCAGATGCTGAGGCCTCCTCCTCTTTCTCTGAGTCCCAATTAGAAGGCCTTGGGAATGTGCATCAAGAGCAAATGTCCATCTCACTCTCAACAGCAAGACCCGAAATGAGCTGAAACATTTATTTCTGGACTGCAGCAGGTCAGTAGAACTGCGTTAAGCAGGCTCTGCTAATGTATTTCCGGAAATGAGTTTCTGTCTCATGCTAAATCCAGTTTGCTTAAATGGTAGGCCCTGTTGGCCACTGTCCATTGTGCTGTAAATGTCTCTTTAAACATTAGAGATACAATTTCTGTGATGCTGCTTGCAGTATTCTGTTGATACTGAACCACTTGCTATTATCTTCGATAAATTTTGGGGAACAGGAGACGTGCCAGATGACTGGAGAAGGGATAATGATGTTCCTATCCTAAAAAGGGGAAAAAGATGAGCCTGGGAACTATAGACAAGTTATTCTGACATCAATCCCTGGAAAAAGTCTGGAGAAAATTATTTAAAAAATCCATTTGCAAGCATCTTCAAGAAAATGCAGTGATTAATAGAAGCCAACATGGATTTATCAAAAATAAATCCTTGGACATTGGAGTAATTGTGGAGAACAGGCTAAATATGAGCCAACAATGCAATGCAGCTGCCCAAAGGGCAAATGCTATCTTGGGGGTGTATTAATAGAAGTATTACTTCCAGCTCATGAGAAGTAGTAGTTCCCCTATACTCCTCACTAGTCAGACTGCATCTGGAATACTGTGTCCAGTTCTGGGTACCAAGATTTAAGAAAGATGCAGAACAATTAGAAAGGGTTCTGAGGATAGCAATAAAAAGGGTTTAGAAGGATTTCCCTATGAAGAAAGACGGAAAGAATTGGGTATATTCAACCTTGAGAAAGGGGACATGATATCTCTCCATAAGTACCTTAAAGGATCTTGACCTTCACAAAGAGGAAGGTCAAGATATCTTCTTGCTGATACCAGAATGTAGGACCTGAATAATCAATTTAAGTTGTGACAACTCAGGTTCAGGCTAGATATTGGGAAAAGTTTCCTCACTGTCAGACAATACAACAGTGGAACCATTTTCCTAGAGAGATCATGGGCTCTCCCACACTAGAGACATTCAAAAAGAAACTGGACAGCCATCTCAGTGGAATGGTGTCAGTTAGTGATCTGCAACAGAAAGTGGTTGGATCTGATGCCCTTCATGGCCCTTTCCAACTCTACTATTCTTCTCTGTGGTTTCTGTGCATCACACATGTGGGATGCACATGTGTGCTGCACAGTACAAGGCCTGAATCAGAGAAAAACTTCTACAACTAAATGTCATGGAAACTTCTTTTCGACCATAAGCCTTGCTATGTTGCCTGATCAGTCTAAAAAACTTTTGCTACTTACCTCTTCCTTTTTTCTTTCTCAACAAATTTGAGCCACTCTTGCCCCCTCCACACACCTGGATTGGGGCTCCAAATTTACCTGTGACCATCTAGCCCAGGTGTCCTCAAACTTTCAACAGAGGGCCAGTTGACAAGTACCAACTGTTTGCGTGGACCACCAAGGAGTGCCGGCGGGGGGGCGGGCAACAGGCCGGTGAGGGGGCAGGGTGCATGCGAGGCAGGGACAGGGCACGTGGGGCGAGGCACCGGCTAGCTCACAAGGAGATTGTTTTCTCCAAGCGAGTCCAAAATGACCTTATGAGCAAGCCGTGTGCCCGCGCATGAGCACAGTGAGTGCAAAACCTCTGGGTTGGGCCGGTTAAACAGGCATGGCGGGCCGGATTTGGCCCGCGGGCCTTAGTTTGAGGACCCATGATCTAGCCAGTATCTAATTGTCAAAGGATTGTTCCCTAACACTGTGAAGAGAGTTTAGAAGTGGCTTTTAGCATTACGCTACTGTAAGAGATTTAGGATTTCTTAATATTTCCCAGTAACTTTGGTACACATGCACATACACTCCCCTACATGTATGTTGCTGCTTTATTACGATGCATCCTCATGTAAGTTGCAACCTTATGCACATTTATCTGGTAATGTATCTTTGTCAACGTAGTGAGTCTTATTTCCGGATAGATACATATAACGTTGTTGTCTGGGAAAGCCTACTTTAGTACATGAGTAACTGTTTGCGGCTGATATACTATTGTGTGATTTTAAGTTTGGGTAATATCCTTTCATAATTTTGTTTCTAGGCATTGGATGGATTCTTATTTGTAGTAAATCGAGATGGGAACATTGTATTTGTATCTGAAAATGTCACTCAGTATTTGCAATATAAACAAGAGGACCTGGTTAATACAAGTGTTTACAATATTTTGCATGAAGAGGACCGGAAAGATTTTCTTAAAAATTTACCAAAATCTGCAGGTAATAAGAAAGTGAACATTCACTGGGTTTGCCAGTTGTGCAAAATATCCATTTGAAACAGGAAGTCAGCTTAAGAGTCTTAGTTTAATTGTTAAGTAAAATGTCCATCTTTTCTAGCTATCTTTGAAATAGTGCATGAACATGGATATTTCTTCTGCAAATAGCATTGCATTTAGATCAGATTACATTTGGTCTGAATTCATAAATGTCAGGATCCTTAAAAATATTTTCTTTAAGTTAGCATGCCATGTACTACTGATTACTAATAGAGGTCTAGCTAGTTTAGAATTAAATTCACACATCTTTAACGTTGCTTCTGTCTAGTCTTTAAGAAGTAGAGGCTTTGCATTTTTATGTAATTTCACAAATGTTGTCACAGTAAATGATTTATTTGCATTTGAAATATTAGTCAAAATGAGAACATTTGGGATACTTTAGTATTTCTAATGCCATGGTCCGGAGTTTCATGTAAATTTGATTGAGTGTCCATTGATTTAAGTATGCTGAAATGGACACTCAAGTGTGACTAAAGATCCTGGCCCAGAAAAGTAGGACCACAACAGGAGGTTGTATGCATGCTGCTTTTCTTACAGATCAGTGTTGTCAGCACTTGCAACAGTTAGGCAGTCAAAAGAATGGAAGGGGGGAACAGCTGAATAGATATCAGTGCTTGCCTTTCTTTCCCCCCACCTGATTATGAGCTGATACCACAAGGTTGGTTATAACTATTACAAGAAGCATGCAGTTGTATGAATGCTATGTACATGTATAAGTTCCTCTCTCATCTTCTATTTTGGTAGCATTAAAAAGAAAAATGCATTCCTGGTGTAGGAGATCCACGTGTTGAATTTAATTTCTGTTTTCTGGATCACCCTCACGGAATAAATACATAACTATCAGATGTAATGCATTGGCATCCTCAGTTCTGTATTTGATACCAAATTCTACTGATTTCAGTCAAATTAATTCCAAGAATTGTAGTCTTAAGTTTAGTTTTAAAACACTCTTATGCCCAAATTTTGATGAGTTATTTCAAATATCTGTGTTTTTAGTGAATGGAGTTTCATGGACCAATGAAGCACCAAGACAGAAGAGCCATACTTTTAATTGTCGCATGATGATCAAAACAGTTCATGATCTTTTGGAAGATGTTGGGAGCAATCAGGATACACATCAGAGATTTGAAACCATGCAATGTTTTGCTTTATCACAGCCAAGAGCTATGCTGGAAGAAGGTGAAGGTAATGGCAAGTTTAGCAATACTTGTTTTTGATCTATCACACATAACCTAATTCACAATGCGATATAGTAATAATAAATTGTAATGTATACTACACTTTGTAAAGAACTTAGTAGTACATAAATGTATATATTTGTTAATAAACAACACACTGTTATCCTTACATTTCAGAGTATCTGTAAAATATAACATAATATATTTTCATTTCAGATTTGCAGTCCTGTATGATATGTGTGGCACGCCGTATCGCTACTGTGGAAAGAGTATTTTCACCAAACACAGAAAGCTTTGTAACTAGGCATGATCTTTCAGGTGAGAAATCTACCTGCAGAATTGATAGAATATATTTTCCATGCAAAGTATAGCAAAACAAGTATTGCACAGTGATTTGACATGGTGTAACTGCTTCTTTTCAAATACTTGATTCATTGTTTATTCACTTACAAGATTTTATATCTCCGTTTTTGGGTGTAATAGCCCCCAAGACAGCTAATATTTCATAACATTTTGTTCGTATCCTCAAATTATACATTCTTTGATAGTAGTTACTGTACAATAAGCTTGTAAATCAAAAGTCAAACACTTCTGTATTTTAAATTTATGTATCAATTATCTTTATGATTGACAGGTAAACTTGTTAACATAGATACAAACTCCCTAAGGTCCATGAGACCTGGATTTGAAGATACAATTCGTCGTTGTATTCAGAGATTTTTATGTCAAAATGAAGGACAGCACTGGTCAAATAAACGCCACTATCAAGAAGGTAACTCCTCAGGTTTCAAAATGCTGGTTGGTTCAATTATTTGTCATAGAATCATAAAATACTAGAGTTGGAAGGGACCAAGAAGGCCGTTGGGTCCAGATCACCAACTGACACCATCCCACTCAGATGGTTGTCCAGTTTCCTGCTGAATGTCTCTAATGCAGGAGAGCCCATGACCTCTCTTGGCAACTGGTTCCACTGTCATATTGCTCTGACAGTGAGGAAACTTCCTGATATCCAACGTGAATCTGGGTTGTCACAACTTGGATTGATTATTCCATGTCCTAGCCTCTGTTATTAGCAAAAAGAGATCTTGACCTTTCTGTTTGTGACAGTGTTTGAAGTACTTATGGAGTGATATCATGTCTTCCCTCAGCCTTCTTTTCTTGAGGCTGCCCAGTTCTCCCAGTCTCTCCTTATAGGACAGTGTTTCTACACCCTGGAACATTTTGTAGCCCTCCTCTGGATTTACATCTTTCTTAAATCTTGGTTCCCGAAAACTGGACACAGCATTTCAGATGAGGGCTGACTAGTGAAGACAACAGTGGTACCTTGGCTCACAAAATTAATCCGTTCCAGTACTCTGGTTGTGACCCAAATTGGTTGTGAGCCAAGTCAAATTTCACTATAAGGTTCAGTGTAAATAAGGTCAATCAGTTCAGTAACCATTTTTTTAATCAGAAAAATGTGAAGCAAAGTGACAAAGAACAACAAAGATCGCAGCCATCTCCCCCACCCCCCATTCTGAGCACAAGGGTGGCCATCTCCCCCCCCCCCCCCCAAAGCACAGGCACAGCCATATCCTTGTGTGTTTGGGGGGTAGATGAAAATTGTGTCTGAATGTAAGTATATAATAGGAGATGAAAGCAGGACACACATGAAGGTTACCCTCATATAGAAAACAGTGATTTGCTTCAGTAAAAGATAATAGAATGCAATAATTTTTCAGATTTGTTAAAACAATCTTAAGTTTTATTTTTCAAGTGACCAGTGTAGTAATGTTTAATGTGTATTTGTTTATTCATTTCAGTGTCATGAAATATAAAGAGATTGCTCCTGTACTAATACTTTGTTTTCTTCCTGACAGCTTATATACAAGGTCATGCCGAAACTCCGCTCTATCGATTCTCCTTAGCAGATGGAACAATAGTGACAGGACAGACAAAAACTAAGCTGTTTCAAAACCCCGTTACAAGTGACCGTCATGGCTTTATCTCCACTCACTTTCTTCAGAGGTAAAATAATTCATTCAGATGCACAGTTCCAGAATTACTTGCTATCTTTATATTTTTCTAGAGCAGGATGTGAGATAGTAGATTCAGAACATGGTTTCAGTGGAATTGCTAAATTTCATTATCATCAGATGTTAAATTTCAGTTATCACATGTAAATGTGCACCTACTTTAAAAAAATATTCATTCAGACAAGGCCAAGATGGCACATTCAAGATACATGGCACATGTCTTAAGTTTCATATGAAGATAGCTTTTATTGAAGTTCCTCATCCTTAACCCAGGATTATCTACTTGGATAAGTAGAATGGAAGGGATCGGATGGCACTGTCTGTGCTGGCCCATCTTGCCCATTTGGATCCATGAAAAAGATGAAATTTTCTGCAATCTTGTTGAGGATACATTTTATACGTTTTTAAGATAAAATACATTAAATAAATAAATAAATAAATAAATAAATAAATAAATAAATGCAATCTCCGTTGCAATTTGAATGTGCAACATGTTTTACAATTTTTATCTCTTGTTCCAAAAACAAGAATTCTCTACAGTTAACATTGATATAAGAAATACCAACCCACTAAGGTCTGTCTAGTTAGTCTCATGGCAAAACTCTGTCCCCTGTATCATGAAGAGTGGACTACTTCCTGTTTTTCCTCAATAGCACTATAGTCATCTTTGTCTACTCAGAAGTAAGTCCTGTTGCGTTCCATGAGGCTTATTGCCAGGTAAGTGGTATATGATTGCTCAGTGCTTGTCAAGAATTTCAGAAAACTAGTAGAAAACTAGTATACAATATATGTCCTGAAAAATATTGGTGCTTCAATACATTTTATTAAGTTGTATTTGTGTCAATAGAAAGAATAATACAGTATCATAGTAAACTGTATTCATAGTAAAACAGGATAGCTGCATGCAGCATTATGCAAATAGGAAAAGTACAAGTTGTAATTATGGATCACTAATAATTGTACAAGTGCTTGCAAAACAATTAGTACAACTAGTTCAGGTAACACTTAACCTAATGAAGTTGTAATGAATTGTGCATTGCCTTTTGCAAGGGTGAAAGCAAAAGAGGTAGAAGCTTTGCACTAGCAGGATGACACCAAGGACATAACTCTCTATGAGCTATGGTGGTGCTAATATGCCCTGTTGTTACAGATGTGGGTGGTGATGTTTATTGATCACTGGAAAAAGGTAGAAAATGTTGTTTAATATAGATGGCATTATTCTACTCTATATGGAATTTAAATGTTAATTCTGTGTGTGTTTGTGATTTTCAGAGAACAAAATGGATATCGACCAAATCCTGGTACAGTGGGACAGAGTGTCAGAGCACCTGCAACTGGGACCACAAATTCAAGTGGAGGTGTTATGAACATGTCGCCTGGACAAAATATACCTTTGCAAAATAGGAACTATGGCATGGGAGATCCTAACATAATGGGTCAGATAACTGGTAGTAGATACGGTGTTCCTGGAAATATGGGATCAGTTAACCCTGGGCAAGGAATGCAGTCGTCATCTTACCAGAGTAATTATGGAATAAATATGAGCAGCCCACCACATGGCAGTCCAGGCTTGAATTCCAATCAACAGAATTTAATGATATCGCCTAGGAATCGTGGGAGTCCAAAAGTGAATTCACACCAGTATTCTCCTGTAGCAGGTATTACTTCTTGTATTTTTTAATGTTTTCTGTTTCAGAATCTGAAATCTAGTATTATTAAATTGGCCATAGATGAGGATGATTTACTGTGTATAACATGCTTTGCAATTATCATCCATGAGTTACTTGCAGCATAAATGTAAAATGATGCAATGTAATCAGACTTACTGTGCCTTCCGTATACTTACGAACAATATGTTAATGCAGGGCTTTTACTATATTTTCCTTTGTGTTTTTTCTGTTTAAAATGTCTATAGCTAAGCTATTTATTTAATAAGTGATGCCTCATTAAAGACTTGAATGGAGATATGTTTTTTCCTTCCATTATCAATTCTTTTTTTGCATAGGTGTGCACTCTCCGATGGGACCTGCTAGTAATTCCAGCAGCAACAATTTTTCAAGCAGCTCACTTAGTGCTCTTCAGGCCATTAGTGATGGGGTTGGAACTTCCCTTCTGTCTACACTTTCTTCACCAGGTCCCAAACTGGACAGTTCCCCAAATATGAATGTTTCTCAGCAGAGTAAAATGGTGAACCAGGATTCAAAAAGCCCTCCTGGAATATTTTGTGAGCAGAATCAAGTGGAAAGTTCTATGTGTCAGTCAAATAGCAGGGACTCTTTTAGTAATAAGGACAGCAAAGAGGAGAGCCTTGAAGGCTCTGACCAAAGGGGGCCAGTTGAAAGCAAAGGGCACAAAAAGCTTCTTCAGTTACTGACTTGCTCCTCAGAGGACAGAGGGCATTCAACCCTGTCAAACTCTCCCTTGGACTCGACTTGCAAAGAATCTTCTACAAATGCTACAAGCCCTTCGTCTGGTGTCTCCTCTTCTACATCTGGAGGGGTCTCTTCCTCGAACATGCAGGAAAAGCATAGGATTCTACACAAGTTGCTACGGAATGGTAATTCTCCAGCAGAAGTGGCGAAAATTACAGCAGAAGCTACTGGCAAAGATAGTTATCATGACAGTAACACAGTTTCCTGTGGAGAAGGAACAGTCAAACAGGAACAAATGAGTCCTAAAAAGAAAGAGAACCATGCTTTGCTTAGATACTTGCTTGATAAGGATGATGGGAAGGATTCATTTTCAAAGGACATTAAGCCTAAAATAGAAAGCTTGGATAACAAGATGGGACAATGCTGTAGTTCTGCAATACCTACATCAAGTCAAGAAAAAGAGATGAAGATAAAAACAGAACCTACAGAAGAGGTATAGTATTCCAGTGCTGAGCAGTGTTAAGGGACGCAATGTCTGCTTTTCAAATAAATGCATGCACTAAATCAATTCATTTTCTTTCATTAGTGTGAAAAAGCATAGTTAAAATAAACTCCAGACTCTCCTTTATTACTTTCCATTGCACAAATTTAGTTTTTAGGTTATTAGCAGTATAGCAGTGGCATTCTTTCTTTGCTCTCAGATTATACATGCACACGTCACTGCATGAACCATCCTAAAAAAGACATTACCTCCTGCTTGAGAGAAAAATTGGAATGCTTCTGAAAAGGACCTTCCACCTATTCACTTTTTTAAAAAAATCTTTTTTGAAAAGTTGCCCAATTAATTGGGGATTCTTTTTCAGTGATTTTTAAAAGTGAATGTATTAGTCAACTAAGCATTTCAATCATTCCTTTTTGGTGTATATATGAAGCTGATTTGCACTCATGGTAAGCTGCCATGCTTCACTAATGCATAGGGCTCCATGATGTGCACTGTTAATCTTATACAAAGGTTGTTTAGCGCTCACATAACCAGCAAAGCCTGGGTTTGCATGACATGACAATCTGTGGTGTGTGCCACTGTGACTTGAATATTTAAAATGGCGGTCATTGTATATTGCTGAGCCATGTGCGATAACTAACCCACAGTAGCTTATCATGACATGCAGACTATCTCATTATGAGAGGCCTGTGTCTAGACTGGGTGTGTTGGCTTTACATAGATGAGCACAGAACACACAAATTTAAAAAAAAATCAGTAAATTAATTATAGACTAAGCAGAAATTTCCATCAGTTTTTCAGCTTAGTCTGAAAATTAGCAAGTTTCAAACAACTCAGCCTTTGTTTCATGACAGCTTGTAAGATTCTTAATAGAGATTTAAGGAATGAAATTTATTTGAATTTTTTTTCAGATAAGTGGTGATTTGGTAGATAATTTAGATGCAATTTTGGGTGATCTAACCAGTTCTGATTTTTGCAATAATCCTGTGTCTGCAAATGGGAGTAACATTGGGAATAAGCAACCTCTCTGCCAAGGAAACACACCACTGGGTAAGGTAGCTTTCTTAACAAAACTATTTCACCGAATATGTCTTGGATTAATTAAATGCACATTTAAGCTATTATTTTCTTAATTTGCTTCATAGAAGACTATTACCTTGTGATTTCATTCACTTTGTTCACATGACATGACTGCCACCCTTGTAGGGGGTGTGCAGCCACCATTTTGAAAATTCAACCCCTACCTGGAGGTTGGTTGTGTGACCCTGACAAGCATGAGTTATGTTCTATTTTAGGGTTGCACTAGAGTTGTTTAACTCTTATTATTTAACCCAAGAATGATTCACTGGTGTAGCTCCAGCAACAGCTTTACAAATTTCCCTTTCTTTTTTCTTGATATACTGTATATGTCGACATATAAAGCCACCCCCAATCTTTGCTTTACTATTTTTGGTTTCAAGGGTTGTTTTATATGCTGATATATACTGTAATAATGTGTGGAACAAGCAACCTGGATGTATGTTGCCAGAAGGAATGCTTCGGGTTCCTCGACCACGGCACTCGTTTTCTTGCCAGTGGACTTCTGGCAAGGGACAGGTTACACCTCACGAGGATGGGGAAAAGGTCCTTTGGAGATGCTCTAGCAAACTTCGTCCAGAAGACTTTAAACTTAGCCGGGGGGGGCGGGTTCAGGCCCCCCAGTAACGTGTCTGCACTGGACGAGTGTATGGGGAGGATCAGGGCTCTGGGAGCAGGGTTTTAGAGATACTGCAGGGACTGACAGGACTCCTACAGAGAGGGGCCAGGTATCAGGGAGGATGGGAGGAAGGAGGAGGCTGGAAACTCCAAGGAAAGGAAGCGGTGGGAAGGAGTTGAGCTGTATGTACACCAATGCTAGGAGCATGGGTAACAAGCAGGAAGAGCTTGAAGCTCTCCTGGGAATAGGAGGGTATGGTCTGGTGGGAATCACAGAAACTTGGTGGGATGAAAGGCAAGTCTGGAATGTGAACATAGAAGGGTATCACCTTTTTAGAAAGGACAGGAAGGGAAAGAGAGGTGGGGGCGTGACTGTATACGTCAGGGAAGGGATAGGATGCAGTGAGATGGAATGCAGCACAGATGGGGATTCGGTAGAGGCAGTCTGGGTGAAACTTAGGGGTTTTGACAGGGAAAGATACCTGACAGTGGGGGTATGTTATCGCCCTCCAGGTCAACTTGAGACCCTGGATGATGTCCTGACAGGCCAGATTCTAAGGATATCTCGGGGGAGAGACACAGTAATTATGGGAGATTTCAGTCTCCCAGATATTACTTGGGAGACTCACTCGGCGGTGACAGCCAGGCCACGTCACTTTCTAGAAGCTATAGAGGAAGGGTTTTTCACACAGAGGGTCCGAGAGGCGACGAGAGGGGGGGACATCCTTGACTTGGTTTTGACCAATAGGGAGGAGCTGATAGATGAAGTACAGATGAGGGGAGCTCTGGATGCGAGTGATCACTCCATCCTTTGCTTTGAGATCAAGGGACTGGGGACGTGCAGCAGGTCGAGCACTAGAAGCTGGGACTTCAAGAGGGCCAACTTTGGCCAACTGAAGGCCAGATTGGGGAAAGTCTCCTGGGATAGGTTACTGGAAGGTAAGCGAGTTGAGGAGGGGTGGATAGCACTCAAAAGGGAGGTTTTGGAGGCGCAAGCCTTGACGATACCTCTAGTCAGTAAGGTGGGGAGGTGGAGGAGAGTGCCGCCATGGATGCGAAAGGAGGTGGTTAGAGGGATTAGACGAAAGAGGAACCTCCGTAGGAAATGGGTACTGGGGGAAATAGACAAAAGGGTATACCGGGAGGAGGAGGCCCGTTGCAGAAGGATTCTTCTCAAGGCTAAGGCTGATTATGAGCTGAGACTTGCCAAGAATATCAAGAGCAACAAAAAAGGCTTCTTTCAGCAAGTAAATAGGAAGAGGAAGGGGAGACAAGTGGTGGCACCACTAAATAAGGAGGAAGGAGATCCAGTGACTGATATGAGGGAACTGGCACAGATGCTAAATGACTATTTTGCCTCTGTGTTCTCCCCAAAGCAGGACGGGGGATATCCGCATAGGAGATTAGATGAGGCTGGAAACTTAGGGTCACAGATTAGAGTCACCCCCCTTGAAGTCGAGGGGCTCCTCAGGGCATTGGACATTACAAAGGCGCCAGGCCCTGACGGGTTACACCCGAGAGTACTTATAGAGTTGGCAGGGGATCTTTCACACCTGCTGGCCTCCATTTTTGAGACCTTGTGGAGAACGGGTGAAGCTCCAGAGGACTGGTGGGTGGCATCAGTGGTCCCAATTTTCAAAAAGGGTAGTAGAAAGGACATGGGGAATTATAGACCGGTTAGCCTTACGTCCATTGTAGGAAAAACAATGGAAAGGCTCATAATAGAGAGAGATCTAGTGATGCTAGATAGGGAAGGGAGGCTGACAGCCACATGACACAGCTTCTGCAAAAACAGGTCCTGCCAGACAAACCTTGTGGAATTCTATGACAAGGTTTCGAGATGGCTAGATGGAGGGGATGCAGTGGATGTGGTATACCTGGATTTCAGCAAGGCCTTTGACAAAGTGCCCCATTATACCCTGGTGGAGAAACTGAGGAGTTTTAGGATACACCAAAGCACTGTCCGGTGGATTAGGGCATGGTTGACTAACCAAAAGCAGAAGGTAACCATTAGCGGGGAATCATCGGGATGGCGGCCAGTGACAAGCGGGGTCCCCCAGGGCTCTGTCCTGGGGCTGATCCTGTTTAATCTTTTCATTAACGACATGGAAGAAGGGGTGAACAGTCTGCTGATCAAATTCGCAGACGGCACTAAAACTGGAGCAGTGGCCACAACTGAGGAGCAGGTACTCCAGATCCAAAAGGATCTGGACAGACTATGGAAGTGGGCAGGAGACAACAGGATGGCGTTCAATGTGGATAAGTGCAAGATCTTGCACTTGGGGCATAGGAATAGCTGTCATAAGTACAGGTTAGGTGACAAGTGGCTGGAGAGCAGCACTTGTGAAAGAAACCTCGGGGTACTGGTTGACTGCAGGCTAAACATGAGTCAGCAGTGTGATGCGGTGGTCAAGAGGACGAATGCCACCCTTGGTTGCATAGCCAGAATTGTGGCTTCTAGATCAAGAGAGGTATTACTACCATTCTACACGACTCTGGTGCTCCCGCAACTGGAGTATTGTGTTCAATTTTGGGCCCCTCATTAAAGTAAGGATATAGCCAGGTTGGAGTCAGTGCAGCGTAGGGCCACAAAGTTGGTGGCCAGTTTGCAGGGGATGCCATGTGAGGCGAGACTGAGGGAACTGGGTCTCTTCAGCCTGGAGAAGAGGAGACTCAGAGGGGATATGTTGGCGACATACAGGTATGTGAGGGGGTGTCACATGGAGATGGGTAGAGACCTGTTCTCCCCTGCAGAGGAAGGCAGGACGCGCTCCCAACGGAGCAAAGCTCAGGGAGCCAAGGTTCCATTTGGATGCCAGGAAGCACTTCCTGACAGTCAGGACCCCAGGGTGTGGAATGGGCTTCCATGAGAGGTTGTTGAGGCCCCATTGGTGCGGTTGTTCAAGGATAGGCTGGATGTCCAGATGGTGGGCATGTCATGAGCAGAGCCGGCTGGTGCCGGAGGTCAGACTAGATGGCCCAGGAGGCCCATTCTGACTCGCTCTGTTTCTGTGTTTCTGTGTTTCAGAAAAATACCCATATATATTTGGGTATTTTCTAGCCCATGTGTTTTCAGCAATTTTTCTCAGTAGGCTACAAAACTCATTTTTTTTTAAAAAATTCCAGTTTATTATTGATGGCAAATGTATGAATATTCAAATCCCCAAAAGTTAAACCTGCAAAAGTCAGGTTTGACTATAAATTTGGGAGCTGATATGGTTTTGTTCATTTTCATACAAACAGCTTTTAATTTTATATGAATTCTTTTCCGCTAAACAGTATTATCTTAAACAATATTGTTTAACATTTGCTGAATTCTCACAACAGTGCATTTTAGGTTATATAATTAGGGCAATTAGTAGAACAGAAAGTTCAGTTGTGATTTCTCATGAATTATTAGGGTAATTGCAGTAACAGAAAGTAGAAGGGAACTGTAACATAAAATGGTCACCTAGGTCCTGCTGTAGGATGCTTACAGGAATGGTTTTTCTATGCATTTAGAATTATGGTGAAGTGCTTAGGATTTTGGTTTTGGTATGTTCTCAGGTTGTATTTTCTAAATTTTTGTAAAGTTGGGTACATAGGCATAAAGGAATTGAAACTGACATTATGCAGATCTAAATAGATGGAGCATAATTATATAATACTGCATACTGTTACATGGTAGATCAAATGAACTAGAGAAGACATTTCTTGAACTTGTTATTTATCTGGTTATTAGTCTATATCAGTGACATTTGTTCAGAAGAAGTAACAGTTGGACTTAATGTACATGTTTGCGTGAAAATTTCTCTAAATGATCATATAATAGATTCCAACCACATCTCTGAGTATTTAATGATGGGAATTATATTGTAATTCTTCAACAGGTATGAGAAGTCCCCAGTCTTTGCAGGCTACCCGTCCGCCTTTCAACAGAGCAATGTCTTTAGACTGCCCCATATCAGTGGGTTCAAGCCCACCTGTCAGGAGTGTGAATACCTTCTCCATATTGCAGAAGCAAAACATGATGGGTGGGAGTCCAAGAATGATTGAAAACCAGGAAAACTTTGGCGCTAATATGGGTTTGTTCATTTTCATACAAGTAGCTTTTCACTTCGTTTATAGTCTTTTACCTTAAACAGTATTCCACAATTTTGATGGAGTAACTCAGTTGTTAGGACTGGCTCCAATCATACTTTGGTTCATACTTCACACCAAAAGGTGGTTGTGATGTTTGAATCAACAAATAAAAGTTTAGAATCAGGTAGCAACTGTTGTTTGAAATGGCTTATAAAATGTAATTTGCACCATCTATGGTTTGGTTTCATGAATGAATTGACAAATTATAGTTCATTATTCCAGCACCTAGAGGTTAGAGTGCTGAGCAGGTAGAAAATGGAAGCAGACAAGCAGCTATAAATTATGGGTTTGCTGGTACATGATTTGATTTTTAAACTATGGCAAATGCAAACTGTGATGTTTGAACTGAGCCTTTACCACAAAGATAATCAATGTTAATGATAATATCCCATTTAATACTGTGTGATGCTTCATCTCAACTGAATTTAGATAAGCTGATTGTCTAAATTAAGATACCAATTTACAACAGGAGAGAAAACATGGCTGACATTCAAAGAGCCCTAGTTGTACATGTGGAGTGAGGCAATTGCTATTTCTCCCCTTGTAGTGGCAGTGCTTGTATACTTCACAGAATGCCATAATGAATGGATAGCATTCTGGCCTTTGTATGTAGTTTTTGCTAGAGGAAGGAGGATTGCAGAAAAGCTCTAGTGTGTGCAGTCATTTAGGTTCTGGCTTATGAAAGTGGTGGGGTGAAGAGATGTAAAAATGTATTTCATAGCGAATTGTATAATATGCTAGATTTTTTTAAGGCAAAGTAATCTGATTTCCCAGGGGGATCTAACAGAAGTATGCCTATGAATCCACATTCAGCAAGTGATTGGAGCCTACAGAACTCAAAAGTGAGCAGGATGGAACCTACAAGTTCTGGTCCAATGGCAAGATCAGGGCCAGAGTGCAACCCATCCCTTTCTAGATCTTCAGTTGGGGGTTCCTTGCCTGGTCTGCCCATGAGGTCAAACAGTATGCCTGGAACCAGACCCATGCTCCAACAGCAGATGATCCATATGAGTGAGTTGTTAAAGCGTTTATTTACTAGAACCCACAGTTAGTTGGTCTGAAGGATATGGAAGGAAATATTTACCACTTAAAGCCCCAGATTGTGAGTTAAGCCACAGTGGGTTAATTGTTCACTGAACAACTCACAGTATACCCTACTAATGATGGAGCTTATAACCAGTATATCCCAGCATCCTCTGTGACAGAACCTGACTTGATTTCCTATCTGCTTTGATTGCTATCCCATTTCATTCTCTTCCACGTAAAAAAATAAAAATTGGAGCCTCAGAAAAGAGCAGTCAGTATCAAGAGGGTTTTTCTCTCTAGCCCATTAACACTACATAACTGTTATTATTGTGTAGTTGTTATTATCGTTATTATTAGCACTGTTAGAAATAGTACTACTACTAGGCAGTTGACCCATATGTATAATTTTTCCTGGTCAGTTTCCATGTCTGTTTCAGCTGTCAAGGGGAGCAGTGAAGAAAAGTAATAGACTGAACTAGGAAGTTGATAAGACAGTATTGCATATAGGCTAATTTGTGCTCAGATGCCAGCGATTAATTGTCAAACTGTTAAATGAAAAGCATTGGTGAAGGGAAAAAGGTGGAGGAACAATATTTCCTCCTTAGCAATGTGATCCTCTCAGTTTTATGTGCTGAGCTGTCAGTTTTCAGTGCCTCCCCTTTCAGTGCTTCCCTGAGTCTCCAGATACTCTAGAAAGAACAGAGATGAATTCCCCCCACTTTTCATGGCTTCTTTTTGGAACGCTTAATTCTGCAGTTACCACAATTTCCTGGCAGTTTGAAAAAAGCCCACAGAAATATAGGCAAATTAATGACTGGGAGTAAATGAAGTGACAGTTAGCACATTTGTAGTGCAATGGATTGCTCTCACAAACCATTGTGGTACAACCAACCCCTAGAATAAGGTAGACATGGCTTATCTCTGAAAAATGAGCCACCCTGCAGAAAGTGGTCTGGGATCAGACAGCATGATAACCCACTATAGCTATTTACTTGTTACTGATTGCCATGTTGTACAAAACCTGGTTTCTTTGTTGTAGTTGTCTTTGTTGTCTTCATTTTATTTCTATATTGCCCAGCATTCAAAGTTCTCTGGGCAGTTTAGAACAGCACAAAAATATTATATAAAATGGAGGCAACAATGAAACATCATAAAATTACAATGCAACATTTATAGGCTGTATTTTAAAAGCTGTAATAGCTTATAAAAATTAACCATGAGTCCTGCTTAAGGAACTAATATAAGTCATTATATTGTATTAAATTAATTAAATGCCTCATGATAGAGGGCAATCTTAGCCTGGCACCAGAAACCTATTAAAGATGGGGAGATGGTTCCATAATCTTAGATGGGCATTTGGGAACAAATCTTGTATTTGGTGACAGTTCCAAATTTAGACTGTCCTTGCCCCATGTAAGTAAGGGCAAGTTTTATTTATTTCAGTGCAAAAATATTTGTGCAGTGGTTTTACAATGCTATTTTAAAATTGTGTTTTATAATTCTGATATAGTGTTGGACTAGTTTTTTTCTGCACTGTCCTACACCATTGAATTGTTGATACAACAATCACATTTTGTAAAATCAGCTTCAAAAATCATTTTACAGGGCCAAATGAGATTAACATTGGCATGGGTGGAAACCCTTATGCGCATCCAGGTTCATCTAACCAGCCAAATGCATGGACTGATAGCATGCTGTCCATGGAACAAGGAACCCGAGGTTCACAAAACAGGTAATACGAAATTCTGAATATGGAATATTATTCAGTTGACTCAGCCTCTTGTTTGGCCACAGTCACGTGTTATCAAAATATTTTGATTAAATTAGAAAAAATAGTTACCTATTTTTTTTTAAATCTCAATTATCCACCACATTCCATACTTTATAATAAAAGGTAAAGGTTTCCCCTTGACTTTTAAGTCCAGTCATGCCTGACTCTAGGGGGCGGTGCTCATCTCGTTTCCTAGCCAAGGGAGCCAGTGTTTGTCCACCAACAGTCTCCGTGGTCATGTGGCCGGCATGACTAACCACCGAAGTGCACGGAACGCTGTTACCTGCCCACCGAAGTGGTACCTTTTTATCTACTTGCATTTTCATGCTTTCGAACTGCAAGGTTGGCGGGAGCTGGGACTGAGCAACGGGAACTCACTCTGTTGTGTAGATTTTTGTGTAGATTTGAACCGGCGACCTTTCAATCAACCAGCCCAGCAGCACAGCGGTTTAAACTACCGCGCCACCTGCAGTCCCTACTTTATAATACTGTATTCCATATTTTCATTATGATCAAATGCTTCCCTTTTAGAACAAATGAACACTGAGCAGTTTTTCCAGTTCTGTACAAATGTAGTAGAAACTAGAATACAATATTTTTCTTTAAATTAGAGTAATTTCAACTTTCTAATGGGGCCTGTGCCCTAAAATACAACAACTGTGCAAAGAGCAGTATGAAATTATGTAAGGCTACCTACTAAAAAGGACACAGAAAGGTTGAACCCCCCCCCACACACACACACACATTCGATATTCCAATGCTGGGTTACATGAAATTCATCTTGAATCTATCTGTGGGGAAGAGGTGTCTGCAAATTGTAGTGCACCTTTAGTTGGCCTTCTTGCACCAGCATTTAAAGCAAAATACACCCAGGCTAAAATAAGATTAAGAAAGAAATTTGTAGTTAAGGTACAGTGAATTTCTTCTAACTCACTTGTTCATCTGTAAAATGCTACAGTTCATTTAAGAGATGTATGAAGAAACCAGTTACTTAGTGATTTTTTTTTTTTTTTTAGTAAGTATGGTTTCATTCTGATATCTTATTTCTGACTTTGTTAAACTCTGGTTTATGAAGGGCCACTTACTTCTCTAATCCTGGAATTTCCCTTCAGACTTAAGGTAGAGCTCTGGTTTAAACAAACCCGGATCTCTCCATGCTGGAACAAGAAAAGAAGTTAAGCATACCAACATGCCTGATGCCCCTTCCCAGTTTAATAAGCTATAGCTTATGAAGTCTAGAAGATTATATCTAAACTGGTCTAATATGTAAAATGTGCTAGGTGCTGTAAAAAAACCAATAGAATGAACATTGCCATAAATGTTCTTCCTTCTTTCATCTCCTCCTGTTGCATGAATGCTTTGCATAACATAGTAGATTTGGAAATAAAGGAAAACATTTTAAATATAACAAATGAATAAAGTGATTACTGCACATGGTAATATCCCAAATGAATTATTTCTCTTATTCCCAGTACTACTTAATAAAGTTTTAGGAACCAAATGATATGATGGATTTTCTTGTTTGCTGCATGGACACCAATTGACAATTGAATAGTTGGCCTAATGGGGCTTCATTTTAAAATCCATTTTAAATTTGATTTTTGAGATTTTTTGCAGAACCCCTTCGAGGCTTTTATAGAACCCTAGGGTTCCACAGAACAGTTTGGGAACCACTGGAATAGAGAGCCTTGTTTTCAGTTTCCAGTAATTTGTTTACTTATGAATTGGCATCAGCAATATATCACTTTTTCCACTTGTATACAGTAGAAAAATAGAATTTTTCTGAAGAGCCTTCTTGTCACTGAACGGCAGCTGCTGCAGAAGCATATTCTTTTTTAACCAGTGTAACATCTTGACTTTCTTAGGCAGATCGTTAGAAATTCTTTGGATGACCTCTTATATACTGCTCCAAATGTGGATGGACAGAGTGATGAAAGGGCTCTTCTAGATCAACTGCACACATTGCTGAGTAGTACAGATGTCACCAGTCTTGAAGAAATTGATAGAGCATTAGGAATTCCTGATCTTGTAAATCAAGTAAGTCACCTATGCTCTTGAGGTGCTTATTTTTCAGTGTGTTGAATTAACTGGGGTGCGGGAGTGACGCCTAGTACAATTCTTCCTTCAATATTGCATAGATCTTTTCCTTGGATGACAATTTGTTTTCAATGTTACAAGCTTCTGCTACTCCGCCCCACCCCAGAATGGAACACAGCCCACCATGCATGTCTTTAAGGGCAGCTAGAAGTTCTTACAGATTGAGGTAGGTAATAAAGTGGGAGGTTAAACAAAGTGCTGGTGAACTGAATTCAGCTTGCTGGATTTAAGTAAACATCATACTGCAGTGCCCTATAAAAGTCCAGCATGAGAAAATGGCTCTCATTAGCAAATCAAGTCAAGTCCCCTCATTTAATTTCCTTACAATTTTGCCAATAACTACTGTGTAACTAGGTGTGTGGATACCTTTCCAACAATGGCAGCTGTGGTTATCAAAAACTGAACAGAACCACAATTCTAAATGAGGGAACCCTACTCTCAAAACTGGACAATAGGTAATAGATTTTCTTAATATGGTTGGGAATGCAAGAGCCCAACCTTAAGAGCTATGCTTTCTAGAGGCTGCAGAAATTTGACAAAATAGAACTTACTGCAGAATTTAACTGTTTTTACAGAATTGCTGGAGAATCCTGCAAATATCCATATAATATCAGATAATGAATTGATAGTTGTTGATAGTTAATAGTTGTTGATAACCATATCCTTCAGTCACCTGTCTAGTCATATAATGTTTTTGGAAATCTTTGATCTTCCCACCAACACTACTACCCAAATTTTCAAGTAATATAGAATTATTCTACATGACTATTTTCATATTCAGTGGTACCTTGGCTCACGAACTTAATCCATTCCAGGACTCTGGTCGTGACCCAAATTGGTTGTGAGCCAAGTTAAATTTCCCCATAAGGTTCAGTGTAAATAAGGTTAATCTGTTCTGTAACTATGTTTTTAAATCAGAAAAATGTCAAGCAAGGTGACAAAGAACAATAAAGATGGCGCCCCCCCCCCCAAGAACGAGCTTGGCCATCTCTCCGCCCCCCCAGCATGACGACGATAGCGCCCTTCTCTCCCCCCCAGCGCACCGGAATGACAGACACAAACGCGGGCGTGCTGGTGGTGGGGGGGGAGATGAGTGCGAATGTGGGTGTGCTGGGGGGGAGAGACGGGCGCAATCATGCTGGGGCGGGGGAGATGGCCGAGATCGTGGTTGCGCACATGCAGGAAAGACGGGCATAATCACGGGAGTGCTCATGCAGGAAAGACAGGCGTGATCTTGGCCATCTCCCCGCAATCCCCAGCATGATCGCCGCCATCTCCCCACTTGGGGTGTGTGTGTGTTGGGGAGTTGGCCACGATCGTGGTCGCCACCCAATGCGGAATTCATGACTTGAGTAAAATTTTTATGACAGTTTTGTTCGTGACCCAATTTTGTCATGAACTGAGGTGTTCGTGAGCCGAGGTACCACTGAACTTAATATTCTGTTGCAAACTATGAAATATTTTCAAGCTCTGTGTTCTTTTAAAGGGACAAGCTTTGGAACCCAAACAAGAATCATTTCATGGACAAGAACCTGCAGTCATGGTTGACCAGAAGCCTCCAATATATACTCAGCCCTATCCAGGACAGGGAGCAGCAATGCCAGGAAGTTTTAATAGCATGCAAGGCCAACAGGCAGCTTTTAACACTGTGATGAATCAAATGAACCAGCAGGGCAATTTTTCAATGCAAAGTATGCATCCCAGAGCAAATGTCATGAGGCCCAGAACCAACACACCAAAGCAGCTCCGCATGCAGCTCCAGCAGAGGCTTCAAGGGCAGCAGGTAACCTGGTCTAATATTTTAGCAGCCTTCTGGGGAGGGCTTTTCAATTTTAGCAAAGAGGAAGGCAATGGATTATATTACCTAAATATAACAATTGTTACCTTTTTTACATCTTCTTCTCATATTCCATACACAGGGTGACATTTCTCTCACTGAGAGTCTGTGTGGCATAGTGGTTAATGTGTTGGAGTGGGACTTAGGAAATCTGGGGTTCTTATTCCCACTCAGCCATGGAGCTCACTGGGTGACTTTGGGTCAGTCACAGACTCTCAGACTAACCTACTTCACAGGGTTGTTGTGAGAATAAAATAGAGATAAGGTGGAAGACTACGTGAGCTACCTTAAGTTCTTTTAAGAAGAAAAAGACACAGTAGAAATAAAATGAATGCATTACTGTATAGCTTATTTATTTCCTTTATTATGGGTTTGACTGATGAAAATTATGAAAAGTTTTCAGAATTATTCTTTTTTGTTAAGTTTAAAGAGAAAAATCAATGCTTGGGTTAATTAAAGGGGCATGGAAGTTGCCTTTTAGTTAGAGTAATTAAAAAAATAACTTTCTGCTGTTACAAGTCTCAAAATTCTGCTGCTTATAAAGTAAGACCTGATGCGCCTGATGAGGTTTGCCAAATTTCAAGCATTCTGCTAGAAATTGCCTTCGAAACAGCAAGTTAAAAAGTGACACATTTGTCTTCTGTACTTGAAGCTGCAGCTTGGCATATCATAAAATTTCTTCCAAATTTTTGTGAAAAATATTGATATGCTTTATTGTGGTTTGCTGAAGATGTACCTTTCATGGTTTTGTGGGAGTTTTGAGTAAAATTTGCAGTAACTAATTTTTTTCTGCCATCTGAAAGCCCATGACAGCCAGGGCTGGCAACTTTAGTTCAGATATGCTTGGTTTCACACTGAAGCCAGAATGCTGCCACTGCTCTAGTGTTCTGACAAATGCCAGCATTCCTGTCGATATTTTGACAGTGGTGGAAAGGTAGCAATATACTGTCAGCTGAGATAAGTATGAGATCATTTTGAAGATTGTAGAATCGTATTGGTAGGTCACTGATGAAGACGGAATAAGAAGGGAAAGAGTATTTTGGACACATGTACAGATCTTTTCAGAAATAAGCCTTTCTGAGCATACAGGGACATACCCATTTATTTATACACATCTAATCAGTTTATTTTTAGTTTTCCCCAGAACACTGTAATAATAACTTCCCTTCTTAAAAATCAAGGAAATTAAATTATCATAAAACCTGCTAGTTTAAAACCGGAACTGAGACTATCTTATGTTGGCTCAAGTACCACAGATCACAAGGAGAATTCATCTTGTGATACATTAAGGTCTAAATGCTTTATAAAGCAATAAACAGGATAAAATGGGGCATCTTTGTTGGTCCCAGGCAGTCTATTCTTGCTACATGTATTTGGGCCTAATAGAAAACTAAAAAGCTGTGGACCTATGAAAGGTAAGTTGTGAGAAAGCCTAATTTGTGGCATTGCTTAATATCATTGCTGATCACAGGGCATGTGTGAAGGGTTGGCGAGTCTTGTCATCTCTCACCAGAAGCCCAGCAAGCTGCTTCCACTGGTTGGGTCAGTGGTGGTGGTGGCACATCTCCCCCTGCGCTGCAGTCCTTCGTGGGGGATGCCAGATGAACAAAGCAACCCAAATGAGGGTGGTCAGACACCTTGGTGCACAGTCAGTTACCCACACTAGTGACCAACACCTCGATGGGTTGGCATGGATGGGGTGAGGAGCTAGAGATAAAATGAGTGTGGAGCTAAGGAAAGGGTGTGCGTGTGCAGGAGTTGCAATGGCACTGGCATCAGGAAAGGCACTTAGAAGGATGGGGTGGGCAGGGGAACCTTACTCTTGAGTCAGCCAGGCACCAAGATGCTTGTTGCTTGTGGAAGAGGTGCAGAAGCTGTTTTTGCTCTGTCCAAGTCCAGCCTCCTTGGAAGAGGTGAGCTTGGAGTGGCCATTTTTGCTTCCCCATCCTGGGCAAGATGGCGAACCTCCTGAGAGATCATGGATCAGAAAGCCCAGAGGACAGGGGCAGCCAGGTGAGGAGAACAGTTGGGGAAGAAATAAAGAAGGCTCTGAGTTGTAGCCTTGCTTGTTCTCCTGGAGAAGTTGGTGGCTGGGACTTCTTGCTAAGAAGAAGCAGCTCCCTGCCATGACTGTCAAGGGCTGCTGCATAAATACATTGAAGTTAGAGACTCTTTTCCCCCCATTTGTTTAAGTGCATTTTAGCTGTTGAAACTGTTTGTCCTCACATCTTTAATTAAACTCTTCAGATTTTCATTTAGTCTGGTTGTGCTTGTGGAGGCAATGGCACAGGGAGGGTTTGTCCTTCCCCTTCCCTCTGAGCCCGTGACAGCATACCTGGTGTCCTGGCTTTGGGGAACTTGAGCAAAGATGAGATAGCCTTAACTCTGGTCTTAAACTGTTAAATCTTTGATCATCAATTCTTGTTTCAATAATTTCAATTTCACCATACTGAATGTATTCCTTTTTCAGTTAATATTTGTAGAATTGTACAATAGTGTAAGTTTTAGAGAAATATAATTGATGTATTTTGACACAGTTTTGTTATAAATTGTTGCTTGCTGTTTCTCAAGTTTTTAAATCAGACCCGTCAAACTCTTGACATGAAAATGGAGAACCCTAGTCCTGGTAGTGCCTCAGTGATGAGACCTGTTATGCCTCCTCAAATGGGATCGCAGGTGCGTTATCTTTCCTTTGCTTAACATCTTCATCATAGCAACTGGGCTTTTTGTATACCAGTACTACACATAAGAATGTGCACTCATAACTTACTTCCTGCTCTCCTCATGTTTTTGTCTCTCAATGTATCTACCCCCTCTTCCTCCATCTCATCGTGCACATGTGTCCTGTTTTCATTTCCCTTTTTGTCTCTGTTTATGCATCTTTGATTTATGAGCTATTTCACTATTGGTATAATATACGAAGCTTTTAATCTCAGGTACATCATAGAAATATATTCTGATGTCAGCCATAAAAGATCAACAAAATGCTGGTGGTGTGGAGTGCTCCTGCTCAGGGTTTCAGTCAGTATATGAGGCATCCAGAGCACCATCTGATCCAACTTGCTTGATGAATTTCAGTTATTGCGGCCTGAAGATGTGGACAAAGTGCTTGATCAAGTTCGGCCTACCACCTGTATGCTTGACCCTTGCCCATAATGGCTCATCATCCAGAGTAAGGAAGGGATGCGTATTTGGTCCAGGAGGTTGCAAATACCTCATCGAAAGAAGGGGTAGTCCTAGCTTCTTCAAAAGAGGCTGTAATTAGACCACTCCTGGAAAAAAATCTATCTTGGACCCAGAAGATGTTAACAACTATAGCTCCATGGCCAATATCCCCTTCCTGGGCAAGGTGTTTGAGCAGGTGGTGGCTGAACAGCTCCAGGCACTTTTGGATGAAACAGAGCCTCTTGATTCATTTCAATCAGGCTTCAGGACTGCTGTTGTGATGGAGACTGCCTTGGCAGGAGAAAGATGGGGTGGGGGGGCGGACTGTGATCTCTGAGCGACTTTTGACACCATCGACTATGGTATCCTTCTGGATAGATTGTCTGGGGCACTGCTTTGCAATAGTTCTCTAAGATCATATGAGGTTCTTCTCAGAGAGCCTCCTCAGCAGGAAATTAAGAGGGTGGCTATAAGGGCCTTTTTGGTCATCAGCTCCCTGTAGAGGTTCACCTGGTGTCCACTCTACACTCTTCTCAGCACCAGGCAAAAGCCTTTGCATTTGCCCAATATTTTAATAGTTAAAATTGTTTTTAAAGGACTTTAATCTTTTTATCTACTTGGTATTATATTCCATTGCTACTCTGTCTCTAGATTAACTTACGTTGTGGCTGTTGGGCATTTTTTGCTGTGTTTTAGGTTGCTTTTTTGTTGATATGTTTCCATGCTTGATCTAATGTTATAGTTTTTATTGTTTATATTGTCTGTTATAACTGTGTAAACTGTCCAGACTTTTGAGTAATGAACAGTGTAGAAATTAATTAATTACCACCCCCTCCCTCCATTCTTCCTGGTGTCCCACCCATGCTGCCTGGATGCCATAATCAGTACAGCATCCTCTGGCTACTGAGGATTCCATTCAGTTCAGTTCTTTTGGCACCCCTTCCCCATCCACGATTCCACCCTTTAACATTGGTTGTTCTTCTGCATTCCTTGGAGCACCCCCAAACCTGCTGATAATTCCTACTTTTATGTGGGTGATGTCTGCATTAAACTAAACATCTGGAGAACGAATTCACATTTGTACATATCGGGTGGCCAGACTCCCTCAGTGGAAGGGTGCATATGTCAGATGTTTGCCAAGCAGGCACCTGCGGGTGGCAAATAGCAGGCAGGTACTGTGGGCAGTGGCAGCAGGCAGCACTCGGGTGCCTCTGGATGGTGAGCTGCAAAATAAAGAGGCACATGTTTTCCCACCCTTGGTATATATGATGTAGAGATGGTTATACTGCAGAATGAATTCACAGATTTCTCCTGTTCCATTTACATTTTTAAGGAAAATTACCCCATATTATCTTTAATACAGACTCCAGTGCTGCTTTTAGCATAAGCACTAAATATTTTTTATTTTATTTGTCTCACTAGTCCTTTTTTCTGTTGTGCATTTTCCCATTTCTGTTTGGGTAATAGCAGCAAGGCTTTCTGAATGCTCAGATGGTGGCTCAGCGAAGCAGGGAAATAATGAATCATCACATCAGACAGCAAAGGATGGCTATGATGATGCAGCAGCAGCAGCAGCAGCAGCCTCAGGCTTTCAGTCCTCCCCCAAACGTAACTGCCTCAGGAAGCATGGATGGTGCTGTTGCAGGCCCTCCGATGGCTCCAGTTCCGCCCCAGCAATTTTCATACCCATCGAATTATGGTACTTCTTACACCGTTTCAGTTATCTGTTACTGTGTACTGTTTAGCTCATTGGCTTAAGTGAATTGCAGGAAAGCTTAACATGCTATAAAACTTTAGCAGGGTATTTTAGGATGAAAGCAGAAGGGAGACGTAAGTGAGTTTTAATATATTCTACAACCAAATGCTCTAAACTAAGCTCTCAGATCTGCTGTATAATTGATGCTCTTTTTCTGTATATTAATTTCACAACTCAGTGGTTTACCTCACCTTGGCTGTGGGACTGTGATTTGAATGATAAACATAAAGTGATTTAAATCTGTCATTCTGGTCGGTTTACCTGAAATTAAAGAAACAAAAACCAAAACAACGTTCCATCCAATTTTAGCTTTTAACTATCATAGCTATTCTCATTAAACTTATATAGGATAGTTTGTGTTAAATGGATAAACTCTGTAGGGGAAAAAGTGAAACAAAGGGCAGCAGGATCAGTATCTTAGAGGAAATAGATGATTGAGGCTGCACAGGACTGCTGACAGCACTTTAGGTGAGGCTTTGGCCCTGAGCTGGGGCTGACGGTGGAATTCTTCTGAGCAACATTGTCTTTTCACTGAAGGCATTTTTGCTGGATTCTTTCCTTTGCTTGACGCTTCCAGGTGCCTTACTTGGGCCAATTTACTGAAGCAGGTTGATGAATTCTGCAACCTTGAAATCCAAATCCTGCAAGTTTGCAGGAAGTTGTGGAGGAGGGGCAGCATGAGTACCTGTGTGCATCCTATAGGTTATATATATCTTGGATTTACTGGATTTATGTCACTGCAAATGTGATAAGATGAACTACCAAACTGTTGTATTTGCTTTGCAAGGAATGAGCCAGCAACCGGAGACGGCCTTTAGTAGGGTATCCAGCCCTCCTAATCCCATGATGGCTCAAAGAATTGGACCTTCACAAAATCCTATGATGCAGCATCCTCAGGCCACACCGATGTATCCATCTCCTGAAATGAAGGGCTGGCCATCAGGAAGTATGCCCAGGAGCAGGTAAGAGAGAAAAAGCACAGTTAATGTTTTCAAAGCCTGTGAATATGTATAGTAGAGATGTTTGATTTTAAACCGAAAAAGGCAATTTTTAACAGGTTGGATTATGATATTTTTAAAAACATCACAACTTGGAAGAAAGTCACTCTTATCCTCTTAGATCTTGTCCAGATTCTTAGCAGTGGGGTATGCAAGGGAATTCTTTTGTTTCCCAGAATATTTTATAATCTTGATAGAAAGTTTTAAATGAGTAGTTCTTCTGTTTGTGTCATAACATATGGCCACTGAACATGTGTTGGGTCTGTTCAGGGAAAATATTCTTGGTACTTTGTACAAGGGTAAGCCCCACAAGCAAGCAGTCTTTAATAAATCATTCAGGAGATCCAAAGGATTACACATCCAAATACATAATTTTAGGTTTTTTAAAGTATACATTTTCTCTTTCTTCCCAAAAGAGAGGCCCCACCAAGGCAACCTCCAACTTAAAAGGAAATAAAACAACCTTCAATAAAAATTATGAATAAACCTAAGTTTAAATAAAGCAATTAAATAAGGAGCAAATATAAAAGCATAAAACCAGTCATGTAGGGCAAGAAGAATTTGCTGGGAAAATTGAGTTTGTTTGCTCGTTTGGCAAAGTTTGAAGGCTGACCTTGAATGCAAAACCAGCAGAATTTAAGAGATTTGGTGCAGCTATTTTGCTATATATCATACAGTAATTCTAGCAATGGTATAGGCTCGGGTCAGTAACTTTTCATTGTTCTTTTTATTTTAAAACAAAATAGTTTCTTTAGATCATAAGACCACTGAATTGTTCGTAATGGTAGCCAGCTTGGTAGAACTAAGGATATATAGATGATCCTGAGAAAGAATCTTGTGATCTTAAGCATTTTGTATTGCTTTTGGGACAACTCCCTCTTCCCCCAATTGATTTCTGGACAGACTAGCAAAGTTTGCATTTCATGTGTGAACATAAGAAACTGTATCTGCATCTTAGAGTAAGTCTTAAATTACTGACCTGAGGCAAATGGAAACAAGGTTATTCCAAGCAGTATTCAGGCTGACAGCTATGGTGCACCAATGAAATGTAAGGATCTGCTAGATTGTATAGATATGGATCCTTAGCAAAATGTATCTATATTTATATATTAAGGACACTGATACACTGTTATCGGAGGATAGAAATGTACTCTCTAGTTTGGCATTTTTGACATAGCTGAATGTGCAACAGAGCTTTGTTGATAATAATGCAATCTTATCTATTTATTGCTTCTATCTCTATGTCATGCCTGTTGCTGAAGGAATCTATAAAACTGACGCATTAGTCAAGAGCCTCTCTAAAAAAATCCTTTCTTTTTTGTTCATGTTATCTAGTTCTTTTCCACAGCAGCAGTTCAGTCATCCAGGGAATCCTGCAACTTATAACATGATGCACATGAACAATAATGGTGGTCACATGGGGCAAATGAATATTAATGCCATACCTATGTCAGGAATGCCCATGGGTCCAGACCAGGTAAGCTGACTATAACAATTGATACTTGAAGAAATTTAAAAAGTGCAGTCAGCCTCTTAAATAGAAATGCTTAGAGAACATAGAGACACTTCAACCCTTCCAACTCATACCTCACCAAATATGGTTGTCCTTTTTGGTCCCTGTATACTATTTCTTTCTACTTCCCTGCTTTTCAGTCCCCTCTGTTCCAGTAGGTTATCATTGGTCGCCAGAAAAATGTGAACCCATCATGAAATTTCTTTTGTCTATGATCATAGCATAAATAGATAATCTGAAGGAAGCCTGAAAATTTGGGTTCCTTGTGTTATTCGGCGGTTCCTTCCCCACCTCCTGCCCCCAACAAATGCAGCTATGTTCTTCTAAGTCAGTCATTACCAGCACAATATTTACTTACGATTTACGATTCATTGGTCTTGAGAACTGAAGCAGCCTTTTTGCTTGATTGCAGAGTTTCTCTTATATTTGCTCTTTGTTGTTTTTCTGCAGAAATACTGCTGACATTACAGCTGCAGTCTCCTAATAGGCAGATGCCATAACAGATGATGGTGAACTAAGTATTACAGAAAAGTGCACATGGGCTTCATTGCAACATATATTAGCCTTATGGAAAAGCCGCTTCTTTTTCCATGAAGATGTCCTGACTTCCCAAGTTATGGGCTTTGGGTGAGGGGAAAGGAGGGATAGAAGTATCACTATATAATGTTTTTTTTAAAAAAGGTCAAATATAATTTTGGCACTCTGCCACTAGCAACTTGAGTTTGACAATGGAACATAAGTAAATGTGATGGGTAGACTTTGTATACCAGTTCTGTTTACAATAGCTATCCAAAGCCCTTAACCACAGGCAGACCAAAGTGCCTGGAGAAATGTTGGTAGCAGTCCTGCGTTCTATAGAAAGAGCCTCTGAAAGAATGTAGTGCCTGGCCTTGATTTCAAAACAAAACTCTGAATATCCATGCTGCTGTTAATTTTGCTCCCTGGTGTTGGAAGTCTGATGTAGAAGTGGCAATGCAAACGAGGTGTTGCAGCCTCAAAATCATACTCTCTGATGCCAAAGGGTTATGAGAGATTACATAAGAGTAATGATGGTAAAAGATTTCCACACTGACGTGCAGTTTTGTGCACTTTATAATATGCTGTATGTAATGGGTTAATGCAATACCTTTAATAATGAATTGATATAAAAATGTGCATTTATTTCCCTTTTCAAGACCAATCTATATCAGTATGCCATGTTACTGATACGGAGATTTGAGCAATAATCACTTGGTTTTGCCATTAAACATCATAAAGCTCAAGGCAAGGCATTGCAGTCCTAAGAGAAATTGTCTTTGTGAATAAATTTTGTAAATATTATCTTAAGATGTTGTACTATATATATATGACTTTTGTAGGCCACTAACTCATTTTTGCAGAGTTTGTGAAGCTAAATATTTAACAAAGATGATTTCTGTAAACTCAGTTTAGTCAAGTTGTCCAGATAGATACTTTTTTAATTTAAATGGGTTTGGAGTTGGGTAACTGTGGCCCTTACCCTCTTTTTATTGGATTCTAACAGTTTATTTAGAACTTTATGTAATGGCTTTTTAAAAGATCATTTGTTCGTATTTTAGTGGTCTTTTATATTTTCTCTACACCTTAAGTGTGCACTTTGTTACTTTTTCTTATAGAGGGCAATTTGATGACAAAAAAGGCTCTTTTTAGCTGTCATGACAGTTTCTGGAATTTTTAATATAACCTGTCTTTTCAATGAAAGAGCCTCTGCTCCAGGACATTTGCTTAACTTCTAATTACACCTTAGTGGTGCTCAGAACATGTTGTTTTTGTGTGTGTTAAACAGGATACACATCTGATATTTAAATATCCATACTTATTTGTGGCAGTTAATTAGGTGTATCACATTTACTTGATGTACTGGTAAAAAATATATTTATTTTCTGAGCAATTTTCTTTATATCATTTATCCATGGAGGTCAGAAATGCCACAAGTTTCTCTGTTAGTTTTATATTGCATAAATGAAGATAAATATGGATTTTCCCCAAGCTTATTACAGTGATTCAGAACAGGCTCTTTCAAATAGAAAGGCAAGCAAAAATGTTTGAAGCCGTGTGGTGAGTGCTTTTACAATTTCCACTGAACAATCTACTTCTTCCCAAGTATGTAAAATAATGATTCTGATTATTTGTCATTAAAGTTCAGCTTTGTTTTGTAGCAATACCATGCTAAAGGATAGAATTAAATAGTGCAGAACGTGTTCTGTTAGTCCTATTGCCCAAAGCTGCTACCAATCTGAGAAGTTTAAATATTGCCTGTTCTGTGTAGACTACCCAGCTATTTGACTGGGTAGATTACCCAGTACAGCTACTCAGTAAAGCAGTACTTCAGACAGTTGGAGCTCTGGTCCAGAATTCTGTGTGTTCTGCTGTGCACATTTAGCTGCTGTCCCATGCATCCAAGAGCTTCCTCAAATGGTAACTCATTTTAAGTTCTTGCTTGAAATGTAAATGAGTTCACCCTCTACATGAACATCCCACTGTAGAAGAAGTAGCTTGCATACTGGCAGGTCAGATCTTCTGGTTTGGGAAATTTATGGTATTGCAAATCCTTAGCATTAAAGAAAAATACTTTTACTTTTTTAGAAGACAACTTGAAAACAACCCTGAAAAAACCCATCAAGAGCCCGTAAAATCAGAATAAACTATCCTTTAACTTTTGTAGATGTTTAATGTTAATAATGACAGCTGTGAACTCTGGGTGCTTTGGCTAAATGTGATCTACCAATGTTATAAACTATGTGTGGCCTTTCTCTTTTCCTTTTGAGTAATTATGTTTATATTTCTGAAATGTAGTGGTACCTGCTGTTCACTGAGTAATCTGTTCCTCAGAACAGTCTTTCCTATCCCCAGTTGCTTGCTTTTCGCTGATTCCAAAGATTTATTTCACACTTAATGAGAACTTCACTTCAAAAATGTTTTGAATTGGCATCGTCAAGTATTTTATAAGCACTGCTGATACACATTGCCATATCTGTCCTCAGAAATGCATGATTTAAAACGCTCATTCTGTGGCAGTTGAGTGTTGATTACATGGTTGTGTGGATTGACCAAGTGGTGCAGCAAACGAGGCTCAATGAGATAATAAGCTGAGTTTGGTATTGGTGCTTTCTGTACTCCTTGTCCTTATAATAATTCCGTTCCTACCACATCACATTAAACTAACAAACAGATTTGTGTGTCAAGATACATAAATTCTACCCCATTCTTTGTGCTTTTAATTTAGTAGCAAACTATTTGAACATTGCACTGGTTATTAGCACACAGAATTTAGTAGCAGACTGTCATGTGACAGCAGCACAGCAATTATGAAAGCATTCAACTGAGAGCAATATTTTTTAATATCTCAGGAGAAAGGCGTATACAGTATTGAGAACTGACTCTAAGGTTAGTTTACGTTAAATATTGCTTGTAATAATTGATCTTTACATCACAAAAAAAACCTTCTACGGGCTGACATTAAATAAAAGTTAGTCATATGGTTTTTTTCTGAATTTTTGTTTTGTTTGGATGTTAATAATGCTGTAAATAAAGGTTTCTATTTGAAACTGGAGCTTGGTGACTTAATTAGCTCCTCAGCTTTTTCCTCTTTTCACCTTTTCAAGAGTGAAATTAACCTACATTTTTACTCTCCAGCTTTAGTTCAGTCTTGGAAAACGGTTAACATAGTCAATTCTGGTACACAATTTGAGGGCACACAACTGGAGGGAGAAACCTGTTCTGCTTGCAGTTGTTCCATAGCTTTCATGACTAGGATGCTGCTGGTTTCTATGCAGTTTTAAGGTGCTTTCACTAACACATTTTTTTTTTCCAGAAAGTATTTAACAGGTGTCATTGCCACTTTCTGTGTTCAGTTAAAATAGTAATGGAACTATTTTAATCTGCTTCTGAAAAGATAATGGGGTCTTTATTGTGTTTGTATCATGCTCCTCTCCTGTTTGCCACCAGAAACAAAGGTAGGTGGAAGTCATTTGAAACACATGCACAGAAAATGAATGTTGGTAGTCTTTCAGTGTAACATGTAAATGCTGTGTACACACTTGACATTTAGCAAAGGTTCATCAGTATGGCGAACCTTTGCTAAAGTATGGTGAAACACTCTGCCTAATCCATAACTGTTCCATAATGAATTAATTAGCCAGGCATATTTTTCACTAACAGGTGATAAATCACATTTGTGAAACAGAAAGCCCAGACAAAAGCTCTGTAATAACTATTTAAAATCTGACTGTTGATTATCTGTAGCCTCTAACTGTACCCTCAAGCTGAAACCTACCACTTCTCTGCAGTTGCTGGGAATGCAGAAGGATTTGGTATAACTGCATGATCAGAGGATGGGAATTATTTTCTCTCATATGATACAAACTAATGCCATGCCAGTGTCTGTAATAAACCACTCTTCTGCTACAGCCATGGTGAATGGCGAGTGGAGAAATTGTAGCTGTCCAGATGTTGGCCTGTTAACTCCAAACAACCTCACCACTGGCTATGCTGGCTAGGGCTGAGGAGAGCTTCACTTGCTGGAAAAGGGCTGCATTTTATGAGTTTCTCATATGAGCTGTAGTACAGGATGGAAACAGCCAAAAGTCTTTCAACTTAAAACACACACACACACACACACACACACACACAGTACCTAAACTACTTTCACAGTAGTGATGTTCTATCATACATATCTTAAACATAATATTTTCTCTGAAGGACACTGTGGCAGATACTAGAAAGAGAAGACTTATTAAAAGAAAATGGAGGTTTGGGTCTGGATGGACTCAGACAAATGACACATAATGTAGGGACCTTGCATGACTCTGAAGATGGAGGTAAATCTGAGAGACATGGATTACCTCAGCATGCGTGCATTTTCCTAGCCTAAGCTGGCTAAAGTGTGCCCAATGGTCCATTGAAGTAAGTACTTTCTCAGAGCTTTGCAATTTCTATTATATTCTACAGATTTGTTCTTTTGTGACAGTAAACTATAGTTAAAACTGGTGAATTAAAACTCACTTCCATTGAAAATTTGTCTCAAAATAATTGTCTTTGTAAGAACAAACAATTCAGATATAAAAGTAAACAAGTGCTTTCTTTTATAGTAGTAATTTTGGTTTTTGAACATACAATATAACCACAAAGACTTGATACAAATCCAACTTCGTTAAAATTCAAGACATACATTAACTGCTTTTAATTTTGCAGTATTCTTAAAAATGGATAAATTCTGAAGTTTTATTATGCAATGAGGTGACTTTTCAGAAATGGTATTGGGGCATGCCAAGACTTTAGTAACAAAATTCTTCTAGACTCGATTTCTTTTGAATCAGGACACTGAATATTTACATTTACCATGCTGGAAAGCTGGCTTCACTGAGTGAAATTTTATATTCCGTTTCACCTAGATATATGTAGATGTGGAAACTGTGAGCTAAAGGGATTGCTATGGTAGGCAAAAACCTGAAAACTGTTAAAATGCTAATTCTGTTCAATACTATCCTCTTGAAATCTGGGCATCATGTAATGGCTGCTTTCTGCTATTAAGTAAGTCACATTGAAAAAAATATTCAGATTTGCATCTTCATATGCCTGTCCTTCTAATGCCATTTGAAGTTGGAGCTGGAATTGCAGAGGGGGTTATAAAAGGCTTCCTTTGAAACATGTTTTTGTGTGCTTCTGCCCTTTAGGGTTCCGTGGATTTTTGATGGTTTATCACACTTTTTTCTTCTGCTGCCATCCCTTGGAACAGTTTCTGTGGTGACTGGTGGAAGTAAAATAGCTTGTGAAGCAAGTGAGGTATAATCCAAAGCAAAAACAGGAAAAGTGGTGGGCTTCAAGAAAGGAGACGTATTTTTATGACAGTAGTCCCCAGAAGTTCACTGTATCTATTTGGATAGTGCAAACACCCTATCTACCTTAGCATCAAAGTTCATCCAGTCCTCCAGGCTAACATAATTCGGTCTCAAATCACACACACTTTCATTAAGTCTGTACAAGGATTCAAGTTCTGGCCAGGTGATATCCTCATTGAGGTCCAGCAGTTGCAGGAAATTAGCCCTCCCAGCCTTCCCAAAGCTGTCCTCTGAAAGACAGAAACAACAAAGACTAGTCCATTCTCCTTGAAGCAAAAAAAATCTTTCCAGCAGAGTCATGCAAGAGAAAGACAGCTAATTCACTTGGACTGTGTATGACACTACCATATAGAAGCAAAATATGTATTCTCAATATGGCTAATGATATTGTCTGTATGATTTCATTTCAGTGTTGGTGGAATATTTAAATACTGCCAAATTTCATGCAGGCTTGTGCCAGAGACTGAAAATATTCCATAATAATGGCCTCTGGGTATGCAATATATAGCTTATTGTTCTACAACAGCAATGTTGCTGATCTGACAGGACTTCAACTTTAAACTTGGGCTCTAGGTTTTGTCTTGAATCAGCACAACTGGCAGCAGTTTACCGCTTTTTCAAAAGCACTTTAAAATGGGGTCAAGGATTCAGACCTGGTTCTTGTACTGTAACAACTGAGAGACTGGCTGAATATAGCTTGTTGCTGAATCATGGCTTACTGTTGCCTTTGTGGTAAGTTCTGCACTTGCTTTAACTACAGGCTGTTAATTACAAAACACACACACACATTAACAAACTCTGTGTTCCCGTTCTGGGTTGTTCATGTTTAACCCACAGCTAAACCATAGTGCAAGGTCCATATGTCCATACCATATTTTTAAGTTGTCAACATATACAAACCATGCTGCTGCCCTATTATAGTGGATGTACTTTCTATTAGTTCACCTAGATTTCCTTTTGTGATCTTAAAAGTAGCACAAGACCTTATAATAGATAGCATTAGGCTTATGAGCCATTGTAGTTACTGGTCAAATCCCTGCGACAAAAAAAGGGAAATTTTAATCTTGTAGAAAGCACAAACACAAATTTGTCTAACCAGTCAGTTCCTGTTTGACAGATCAGATTAACTCATTAAAACGAACTGGACAATGTTGACTCCAGCTAGTAGATAAGAGCTAGTATTTTCCCAAACAATTCACTATGAGGAACATATTTTAAGAATGAGAATAGATAAACCTGTGAATATGTACTGCATGCAAAAAAGAAGAGAAAAAGTTAAGGCTGGTGATTTTGCAAAAGTGGACTCCTAACTCACAGTGTCTTGGAAGATGACGGTCGCTTTATTTCTGGCCACTTTCGACGCTGAAACTGCCTAATTTTTGAAAAAGAAAAGGATAAATAATCATCAAGAAAGCCACTAGTGCTACAGTGCAGGAGAAGGGGAAAAACATTTTAAAAACATCATTAGCTTGCAAATAATGGAACATAACTATGAACAAATTGCCCCAAGATTTTCAAATGGAACCACCCAGAATTTCCTAATCCTTACTCTATAACCTAGATTTTCTCAACCCATCCTTGTCTGTTCTCTACTACAACGCTTGATGTGAAGATAATTGGGGAGGAAGTAGTTGTAGTTGAAGTAGTACCTGTATTGCTCATAGCTTCCATCTTTAAGGCCTAAAGGGGGGAAAATCGTACAGATTATTCAGTAATGGCATCAGGAAGGAAAAAAAAACCCTATGTTGTAAGGCACAGTTTGGATCAAGAAAAGTTGTCAAAAGTAAACAATAGCTGTCACTGGGATAAGTCTCCTGCCTTTTACTACACTGCTACTGCTCTGCTGTTATTCGTGTAGAGTTAACAAACTGCATTACAATCAATGCTCTCCCTTTGTAGTGGGGTCCTAATCTTAGTATCCCTAATGATTGTGGTCCTACTCCTATGTTTTTGTAGCAGTAAATGTTATGTATAAGGGAACGGCAGTTCACTTGGCAATCTCTCTCCCCAGAATTCCACTTCAAGTGGTAGAATCCATGGGGAACAAACACTAATGAGTTCCTTGTTCACAAAGAATGTAGTGAAAAGGTTCCATAAAAGCATAATCCTATGGGCTGCCAACATTTTTGCTCAGAGTGTGGACCTTCCTTGCCCCATCTCTTCACCCTCATAGCTGGAGTAGGAAGAACCATCTGGCTGCCTCTTTGAGGTTGCAAACTGCCACTGGGAACAAAAAAGGGGAAGAAAGGGAAGCTGGGGCTGTCCGCTTAAACTGTTTGTTCCTCGGTGCACCAGTCTCCTTCCCTCACGCCCTGCCACTTCATGAAAGAGCCAGCTAGATCCACAGGCTGCAAGGTGTGATGGCAGCAACTATCACTCCATTGTGCCTCATGCCATGCACTGGATGCCTGCTTGGAGGCTGACCTACAACCAAAGCAGATGCCATCGGACTGCAGCCTAAGGCAACTTTCAATACCCAATTACAGAACGTTAGTATCACTCAGCTAATTTTCCTGCTTAAGACACGCAATGTTTCACCTACAAGTCCTTTGCAATTCTGCCATCTTGGTTATTTAAATAGCCTTTCTCTAGCAAAGGCAAACAAGATACCCTTACCCAGGTCCATGTTCCGAGTCCTTGGGTTGCACTGCTTATACCCCTTACAGCTTCTTAATTCCATAAGCTGCACATGCAGTTGATTGAGGACATCTCT